TCATGTACATGCTCGGTTGAGAAATCTGGATCGTGTTCTCATGCCATTTCAATATTTTTTCAACTTAGTTATGTTGGGAAACTCGACATAGAAATTACAATCACTCGATACGAAACTGTCAGTTAATATTTCATAATGAAGCAATTTCCAAATGATCCTGTTATATTAGTTTTTGTTGTGTCTGTTATAGATTCTGGATACAAATCTGAACAATTGTCACGACACCATGAGAAGCTGAGCAAACAAGCGCTTCAACTGCGTAACTTGGCTTCTAATTAGAAAAATATTGTGTCCGAATTTAATTCGTAAAACTGTTTCGTTTTGAATTCTGTTCCATCCAAGACTAGTGTTATATGGCCTAATCTCATTCATTGTGAATTTGAGATTGAAACCTAACTTTTTTCAGTATCCGTGTGAAGGTTGTAATTTTACCATGTTGAAAACTGCATATCCAAACGTTATCCATGCCTAAAAAATTCTGCTCATTGTTAGGGCTGAAACCCTGAGCCTCCAGTCAGCAAATTCTATTATGCAGGACATGATTGCAGATGCACAACATTGCAAACAGCTCATCCCTTTTACTAATTTTTCGGACGTTGTTAAGATACCATTGGTATTTAAGAAAGTGGCACGGCTCGAACGGGGTCTCAAAATTGTCTCGGCTAATATCTGTAAAGTACTTGAAAATAACTTTCTGTTACCTCATTTGTTTTTCTGGATTCTTTTCCGGTCCAATTACCAGCTTCCTCGCGCCTCCAGTGCCATAATTACACCTTCCCTGTTGAAATAGATTTTGTAATAAGACCAAATCTTTTATTCAGGGATAGCGTTGCCAACTATGTGTTGAACCATTCCGGGACACCCCAATGTCTAAACTAGAGTCTAGAATTTGAAAACTGATACAACAGAAGCTTGTGAAACACGAAGCACGTCAAAAGCAACAGTGCGCGCAGCGCGTCGTGCAGCGTTATGTTAACAACTGTAAATGATTTTATCTTAATCAGAAAACTTGTGAAATATTAACTCTTTAATGCATAAATGCAAAAAAAAACTAAAACAGAGAAAATGTACAATTTGTGCTGCGTAGATTTAATTATTTAACAAAAAACACAAGAAATCGGTCTTTCTGGTATTTTAATTTGTATTTTTCATTGTGATTTCGCCGATTTAAGAAGATCTATGTTAAAATTTGTAATCTTTACGGAAATATAATATATATTTAATGAACTCTCGCAGACAAGAGCTGTCAGCAGGAGTCCTAAAACAGACGGCTATGCGGCCTGAAAACTAACTGAATAATGAAATCCTGCTCACTAAATAGCCTCAGTGCAGTATTAACTAAAAAAACGAGAATATCGGTCAGAGACCGAAGACTTATCGATCGAAAGTTAGGGGAACCCCCAAAACAGAAACTGCGGTTTCGATTCGAAAAATTCTGCAAACCCGAACTGGATTGTTTTGAATAGTTTTCAGCCAATATCAAAAATGTAGGAAACAATAGCCAACTCCTCATGTCGTCGTCAAAATACTACTCGAGGAAATACTTTTATGAAACTTTAAAGAGTAATTATAAGTAACGAGATACGATCTCGCGGCGTGTATCCTTCGCTCTGACTCAATAGCGTGGAAAATTTCTCTAAGAAAACTTGCGCATCGCGACGACGTCAAAGTTACAAGAGAGATATGGACAATGCTTAAAGATTAATCACGAGATACGATCTAGCGGTGTGTATCCTTCGCTCTGACTCACTAGCGTGAAAACTTGCGCATCGGACACGCACACACACATTCAGCGCGTCTCGAAAATCTCTCGCTTTGTAAAAATCCAGATCTCTTCATCACTAATTAATTAATAACTCGCTAATTATACGACATAATTTATCCAAAAATCAATAGGCTACTGGTCCGAGATACGATGAATGCACATGCAAATTTGGAGCAGATTCAACCACGCCTTCGTGAGATATCGCGTGCATCTAACACACAGACAGACAAATACCTATCAACATACTTACCGATCTTAAGATCGATAAGTAACAAGAAACACAAAATATTATTACACGCCGTAACTTCATTGACTGAATTTTTCAACAATTCTCATTAGATCAAGTTTTTGATCCTCTCAAATTAAGGTGACTCCTGTGTATAATGTTATCATCCATTTTGCAATTGTTCAGCATATTTGAAGGCTATGTCATCAGGAGGTCACGGTTGCGAAACATGTCTCATCCACAAACTTCAAGTCACTCCTATTTGAATGAACCATACAGATGTAATCGTTTTTAATTAAAAAAATATATTTGCGTGAATTACATCCGTTTCAGTTTTGAACAAGGCCGACACGCTTACAGTGGCCTTCTAATTTAAAACGCCTCGGTTGTCGTTACATTCCGGGACAACTGTAATGAAGCTCGGTACACGGGGCGCTAGACGTCAATTCCGGGACTGTATCGCCCATTCCGGGACGGTTGATAGCCCTATCTGGGGAACCCAGTAGAAACTGGTCCTATAGTTTTTCCAGTGCGAAGTACACTTCAGGTAGTAGCTTCTTGTTTTACTACTGTTAGGTTCTGTCGCGTTTTCGTCTCTCTGTGTTATATCTGTTCAAATCTGTGTATTTCTGATGGAAAATAAACTTTCTCACCTGCATCATATGACTATTGAACATATCGAGTAGTTTTGTAGCACACTGAATCTTTTGTGAGTTTTGCAAACTTGATGAGCACACTCATTAGGCCTACATGTATGTATGCACTGACTGAAGAAAGGCCGCTGTTCTCAACATTCCTAAAAGTCTTTGCATCCGGTTCTTTCGCCTGCTGGGGTATTGGTAATAGAATAGATTATACTAGGCCGGTTAGGTATCGGTACAGCAAAAGCTCCTGTGTTAAAATTTGATATATTCCAGTGCTTAAAATGGAATAACCAGAAGTGCGCCCCAAATGTTAGAATATGTCGTTCCAATCATCCGATTCGGACCTGCGGATAACATGAACACTACATAGCACAAGTTCACAAAACACATGGATTTGATAAATACCGAAGTTGCAGCGCCGTGGCATAAAACGCTCTTGTTATATTTCACTGTGTTAGTTGTTAGTTTGTTTATCGTCCAGTAGAGTAGACTATTGATCACGGGCTTTCATAATCACATTAATCATGACATATCGTGCACCGCTTGTTTGTTTGTTGTACTCTACTCTACACCACTCGTTATTTTCTTGTATACAATGTATATAGTATAAACAGTATGTTCAAACTCCACAACCAACTATTTACGCCCGAATTAGCTTTCGTGTATTTTTTCAAAACTTACTTCAATGTGTTGTTTGGGGTAAGTGGGCAAGTGAATCAGCACGTCTTAAATCTATGTGTATAAGTATAAGTATAAGTTTATTTCGACTCCATAATCAGCACTAGACGATAAAAAAATAGATAAAAACAAAAGTAAAAGTAACTGATTCTGAAACACTCTCTCGATACAGCGATAGAGAGAGAGTCCCCTCTCAGATCACTAGATCCAGAACCATTATATAACTCTGCTAGAGCAAAGCAAACGTTGCAGGTAGCGTCGGCCAAAGTTTATGAAAATTGGGAATGGAAGAATTTTGAGGGGGCCAATCTAACGTTTCACTGGGGGCGAGCGAGAGACTCTCCATTGTGCTCATTCTCCGGTATATGAAAATATCCAAACTGATGTGCCGTGGCCCACCGTTACCCGGTTCGCCAAGCAATTGTACCAGCGAAAATACCATATTCAGATATTCCAGTATCTACGTTAGATATTTCATACCGTATTTATACGTAGAGAGATATGAAAAAGATTTCCATGTTTGGTAATAAACAACATATACGTTAATTTCACGAGGAAAGTTAATACTGTAATAATACCAATACAGCAATACTGTACCGGTACCGGTACTAACTCTAACCCATGGATTTTAGCACCCGAATCAGCTTATATAGATTGAACTCACGGATATACAGGTGCAAATGTATGGGTTCAAACGTACATCCGTACATGGGTTCAAATATAAAGTCACCTAATTTACCGCAATCATGGCAAAATGCATGAACGCATTTTCGTATATCTGTATATCAGTATATACAGATATAGCCTAGAAAGCTGAAATGCGTACCGGTAGTCTATTATTATTAGACAAGTAGAGATCATCCTTTGATCCTTTGTGACTGTAACTGCGCTTTGAGCCAATTTCCTCTTCCAAATTTAAAAAAATTAAGCTATAAATTACGGTACTTAAATAGAAAGAACGTGAATGGAATGAAAATCAAATAGATCATCTGACTTCATGTGGAGCGGTAGCGATATCCTGATATTATACTCACTTTGTAATGCAGTAGGCTTCTTTTCCTATTTTTTAGATAATTGCAGGAGCAAAGACACAACTATTTAGTGATAAATGGTACAAATCTCCTCAATACTGCAATAAAGCAACGTTTGGTTAATTTTTATGTCTCGATGTCACTGAATTATTTTGCCCTGGAAATGGTCCCGCAACATTATAGGTTTTTCTGTTTCATCTATTAGCAGTATTCCAATGAAATTTTTGAGACGTGAGATAATCTTGATCTCTTTACAGTTCAACTTAATGATAGGCTATTTGAATTTTAATAAAGTGGCACAGTGTTTTTGATCTTATTGCCGTATCAATAAATAGATGGCAACGGGAAGCCCAGTAGACACAGAAACGGCTGTTGCGTCACAGAAACAAAGTATAGAGAAGCCGTTCAGCATCAAAAAATGGAACGCTGTTGCAGTATGGAGTTGGGATGTTGAATGTGATACTTGTGCAATATGCCGCGTCCAAGTGATGGATGCTTGCCTTCGCTGTCAAGCTGATAATAAACAAGACGAATGTGTAGTAGTATGGGGAGAATGTAATCATTCATTTCACAATTGTTGCATGTCTTTATGGGTTAAACAAAATAATCGATGTCCACTGTGTCAGAAAGAATGGATTATACAAGGGACTGGTAAATAGCGCACATATCTCATTTCTAGACATTTTTTGCAATATTACATTCATTGATGTATATAATTAGTTCAATCAACAATGTCTTTTCTGCATTAAAGATTGTATAAGACAGAGTTATATCAGCAATGACCATTGAATTCTTCATCAACTTCCTTATTGACATACTCATATTTCCTCCATATCGTTCGATTTAGACATTTTCTTATGGAAAAGTTTATAAAAGTACTTGACAATCTGACCCTGTGATTGGAGTTTTCATCTTTGCTATATATGATGAATAATATATAAAATATATATTGCTATACATTTAGAAAGAGCTGAACATGAAATTTTTTGAATAGTAATTGCCTGTTACTATATGTGAAAAATAATTTATTTAAAGCCATAATTTTAGGTAACTTTTTTGGTTTACCTGTCTGATTTGGGACAAGTGTTTACATTGAAAATTGTATTGTTGACTGGTCTGCGTAGATTTATTTTGAATGTTCTATAACTTTTTTTTTTTCGTGCAAATTTACTTTAAACCAAAGATGCGGCCGATCATATACAGAGATATAGTTTATTTCTATGAGGTACATGCGTATGTTCGAATTTATATAAGATTTTGACTTGCTATAATTTTGTTTGCAAAGTTATACTGTTAGACTGTACTACTTAAAAACTATTTTTTAATAGTTAAATTGTATTATTGTATGGAAGTTTTGTCTCACTCATTTATTGTTTATATACCGTATAATATACTCGCCTATGCACCACCTTGTAGGTTGTAACTAATAGGCACTATTAGTTTTGTGTTGAAAAAGTTTATTTAGAGTTGGCTCGCACATAAGTCGCACTGAAATCTGGGATTTAAAAGGCCCTTACCCTAGCTTTTTTGCATAGGTAACTTCCTATTTTTTTTTTTTTGTAGAGCTAATATAATCAAAATATGTCAATGACAACTATGAGCGATGATAATAAGTGCATATACGCAAGTGCAGACCATACATACGATTTTCATGGATAACCAACTCGCCGGCCACTCGCCGACGATAAAAAACTTACGGTATATTCTCGAAAATAATCCGAGTTTAAAACTTCAAAAAAGAAAGTTGCCAAAATAAGGGACCGGCTTATAAGCGCATAACTCTAATGAGCTTGAACTAATTGAGATTCCATAAATTAATACGGCAAACTCAAACTTACGATACTATCATTAACGACGTCTGGCTCACGGATAACATCCGCGATAGATACTAAATAATATTTAAGACCTGTTACTACAGGTATATTTTAGAGCTGATATGCGCTCATAATTTTATATGGTTAGAACCAGGTCATGTTTCAGGTAGATAATACTACTACAGCATTAATTCTAAACAATGAAACTGTAATTTCAATCATTTTGAACAACCATTTAACTGAAAGGTTGAAATAACATATAAATATGGTGTGATAAATACTGCGCTGTATGTCCATGGGTTAGACAACAGCTGTGTTTTCCGTTTTTTCCTGAATCATTAAAAGGGAAGGGTCGTAAATCAATCACTTTATCTCTTGGTAGCCGTTTTCTTTCTGAAGTGCGATATCAGGCAGGAAGTGCATTTTTGTTTCGAAGGATTGAGACAAATAACAGCTGGTATACAAAGTCAATTAAATAATCGGCATAAATTGTAAAATATATCAGCCCATATATATGAAGCTTACACAAATCATGTTTGAGAAGACTTGCGAAAAATACCAAATTTATCAATTTATTGCCGTGGCCGCTCAGGATATCTCGACTGCGTTAAGATAAAATAATGATTGTAAAATATTTTCAATGATTCAATGCCGTTCATGTCGGCAGTATTTAGTTGTGCCCCAAAGTGCTGTCTTTCATAAAACAGAATCAGTCAATCAATAAGAAAATATAATATCGAAAATTGTTTTGATCAAAATGTGGACAGCGGCGCTAGAATGTGTGTGCCATATTTCATATTAATATAAACACTAAAAAAAACAAAATGTAGGGAATAGCGATATTTGAATATTAAATTTGAATTGAAAATCATTGACTGTAATAGATGCATGCTGTGTGTTACGATTTGTAGAAACGGCGTATACGAATTTTTATAAAATCGCCCCCATGTCGAGCGATAGGTCGCTTAAAAAGGAAAAAGTTGCGACCTATAGCCTCTATAGGCGAGTATATACGGTAATCATTTCAGATACACTGATATTCACAATATGCTTTCTGCTTAAAGTGTATAGATTGTTAATGCATATTGCAAATGTATTTACTTGTCTAATCCAAATGAAACAGTATTGAATCTGAGATGAGCAAATATCTATGATCCAGAGTGTTACATAGTCAATTTTAATATTTTGTGTCCTGGCTCTTGTGTGCTTGTATTTTATATATGAAAATCAGAGTTTCATCGTATACACAAAAATGTTTTCAGTAGACGTTGCAGAACTGCTTTTAAGACTTTGTGTATTCTATTTTTCTTTCTGTTGAGGGTCAGCTCATTGTACCTAATCATGATGGTATCATAGAATATGCCTCCACCTCAACCAGGGTGTATTAAATTGGGTAAGCTTCAAGTCGAATCGAAAAGATTCCCTTCCTCCTAGTACATAGTATCCTTGTATATATCAATGAATTGTCTAGAGATTGTTTATAGGAAAGGTTGGAATCACCTCATAGAAAAGGTACACAGGTGCCAACCCATATTAAACTGCAAATAAAAATGAAATGAATTCGTAGGTATGATATAAATACCATTTTTTATTGTTCGTGAGCAGCGATTGTTTTGAGAAAATTGTTGCTTTTTTGCAAATTTGAATGTGATTCATACATAAAAGTCTTCACCTGGGATTTGTTGATTGTTTCTGGATTTTGGACAGTTGAATTTGGCTTGCTGAATGTCTGCTGCACCATTAACAACTAAAGAATTGGCTCGGTATGTGAAATTGATTTGTTATATTTTACATAATCCCTTTTGTTCATATCTAATCCAGTGATTCTCTTTATTTTGATTCATAAACTTTTTGATAAATTCGATATACAATATTATATTCTAAACTTTATTTTCTATCCAGCAAGCTTGGATCAGTGAAGACTACTTCGAACTTGAAAATTTCGACCAGTTCACCTTCTAAGCAAGGTATGGTTCATTAATAATGTCAATTTATTCTTCAAAGTTAGAAGATAAAATAATAAAACGCTGTTCATGAACAAACAAAAAAAAACATTCTTGCAACTACAGTATCTAGTGTTTATAATATATCCTCATGGATTCTTCAGGTTAAACCATGTTTTTTGTTTCTAATATACACATCTGGGTATAGTCGTACCTGTTACAAGGGACAGTGTTTAAAAATACTAAACAATCTGATGTGTTTTGATGAATATTCCAGGACAACCACTGAGCTATCTTGTTGTTCTTGACTTTGAAGCCACCTGCTGGGATTCTACAACAAAGGCTCCTGGGAAGCATGAAATAAGTAAGATGAAATTCAAATTTGTTTGAGATGTATTAGTATATGGCTCAGATGACGTATTACAGTGTGATTTGAAATAAATTTGTATGATTTATACATTCTTAAATGAATACAACTTGTAAATGCTGTCTGTGGATCTCTGACTCTGTTCAGACAATACATTGCAGAATAAAATTTTTTAATAATGTTTCTACTACAGTTTGTGAATTTGTGTACCAGTTTTTCATTGAATAATATAATTTTTTAATTCAACTTTTCTATTTAGTTGAATTTCCTGCTGTAATTTTGGATGTAGAAAGTGGAAAACTTGTTGCAGAGTTTCAACAATACGTTCGACCTACGGAAAATCCTGTTTTATCCGATTTTTGCACAGGACTTACAGGGATTACAAAGGTAGGATATCAGTTATTTTGAACATTACGATTAAGGATATAAAAGCCTTCTAGTGAGTGCTCTTGTATTCACATTCCTCACCAGTACTTAATGGAATGTTTTCCAATTACAACGATTTGTAATGTTCCCTAGTTTATGACACATTATGTGCATTTCCAACTTTTAAAGTTAAATAAGGATACAAGGAAAGATTCTTTGACATGAACCAATACATATAAAACAGTATAACAACAGTATATCAGATCTATCAGTCAAATGTACTGCGTGACCTAGAAAAACAGATCGCAACTCATTCAGTACATATTCTAGATATTCTACTTTTTCGGCTGATTTTCGAATAATAGCCACTTTTCGCCGTCATCACCGGGTTTCGTTTTCAGGAGAAATATTCAAATGAATTTTAGCGCTTTGCCACATATTGTAATGACAATAAATAAAATCGGCACTTTGATTGTTTATCTTCTGTGCGACTCTGCGCCTCATATTGTTGCGAGTTGCGACGCGTTTGCGTGGTGGACATTGCTGCCATTTCCTTGCAAGGCTTCTTGTTTAACATTTATTTTATTATGTCGCAAAATTGAAATGATATTGTTAAAGTTGTATCACTGCCCGGTAGAATGTAATAGGCCATTTCATGTATGGTTAGGTCATAACTGAAAAGTGGTAATAACATTTAAAATGACAATTTCCACAAGGAGAAAAGGGCAGAAAACGCTAGTTCCATTAATAGAATCGAGTTGTATCTCTGCCTGGTAGAATGTAATAAGCCATTTCATGTGGGGGCCATAACTGAAAAGTTATTAAGGGTAACAGTAATGACATTTAAAATGACAATGTCCACAGGGGAAAAATGCAATTTAGTATGAGCAGAAAACTCTGGTTCTATAAATAGAATGAGTTGTATCTCAAGCCCGGTAGAATGAAATACGACATTTCATGTATGATCATAACTGTAAGTTATTATTGTTGATGTAATATTTCAATCATCACGGAGATAAGAATTCTTTTCAGGGCTACTAAAAATGATAACATATCGTACAGATGATTAAAAGTCGGGCAGCGTTATTTGCCTTACGGCAATAGTCATTCCGTTTCCGTTTTTTCAGTGTGATCTGAGTTATGCGCATATAAGCTGGTCCCTTTGTTTGGCAACTTTTTTTGCGTTTTAAACTCTGCTTATGTGCGGGGATATACGGTAAGTACTGTTACTAACAAACTCTACCTATGCAAATCCACACAGCCAACATACATTCAAAATAAATAGTTAGAGATTAGTAGGTAGCATCATACATTTTAAACTCGTTCCAACTGAATAATCTGTGATAAAAAAAAACATTGTGTGATGTCAATTCAACTTCATCTGTGAGAGCAGTTCTGTCTATACTGAATGTTAAATGCGTATTCTGTACATTTTGTGGGGACACATTGGATAAGAAACAAACTGGCGCTAAATGCATCAGGTAAAGTGGGGGTTGTCCGAACATCTGATTCTACTTTCGTCTTAATAATAATGGCTGGCATAAAAAAATAGGCTTAAATAACTTATAAAACAGATGATTCTCTTTTATTTCAATATTTTCTCTGAATATATACCTTATCTTAAGGGATATAAATTATACGCCATTCTTTAATTAAACATAATTTACTGTTTTTTCTTAATAACTGTTTTAAAAACAGGGCAGTTAGCATTTTACATTGGAAAAAAATTTGTCTCCTGATTTAAAAATATTTTTGATACCCGCCTCCAACTCTGCCCAATTATGCAACTACAGAATATGCAACCCTTTTAATTAGTGAGCAATGAGACTGAAACATCGAGATCATTGAAATATCAAAAAAAAAGGACCAGAAATGGTATCTTATAGATTTTCTATTCGATAGTGATCAGATTTTTGTCAGTGTTCGTACTAATGCTTTAGCGTTCGACTCTACCTACTGTGATAGCTTTCAAACAGAATTTAAGCATATGCTGTGTATGGGTTATTTTTGCTGTAAATTATTTTGATAATGTTACACTTCTATGGGCCTGTTATTGAATGTGCGTACACAGAAAGACATGAACTCAAAAGATATTATAACATTATAAAACATAAACTGTCATGTCAGTTTCAAACAAGGTATAAAAGTACCTAATTTGATAGTTGAAATAAACAGGGAAAGTTTGTGAATCAGTTGCTTTATGAGGATATAGATATACAAGGTTAGTGCTATACAGCCTGTTTTCATCTACAATATCACAGCTTTGTATGGTTTCACTAACTGCCGAGTGTGAATAGGAAATCCAGTTTATCTTATTTAGGTTTCCAGACAACATTGTAATACATTCATAATTAAAAATGCTATTCCATCTCATTGTCATGTTTATATTGAGATTTAATTGTGTCGAGAAAAACTTGATAGGGCCTATAGGGAGACTAGGTTTTGCAATGTTGGTAAATTGTTCATCTCATATGTTGATGTATTATTGAACTTTATAAAATTGGTTAATTATCAAAATACTATCAATGTGATGTACTATCTCAGGGTGTTGCAAGGTTGAAGGGCTGCAAAAACTTTTGAGGAGGTCTCGCGGGCCGCAGTCGAAAAAAAATCAAAAGTGATCAAAATATTGCGAGTTTACTTAATTTAAATATATTAAGGAATGAGAGTTTACAGTTCTCATCAGCCTTTTGTTATGTTGCATCGGTTGCGTTTTTTATTTTAGGGAAGATATGTGAAGCCTTCAGTTATTTCAAAATGGCTTCTAAGAAGTACCGTGGTGTTTTCCGTATTCTTTCCTGTGTTTGGTTTTGTAATATCGCTTCAAATTATATTCTTTCATGACAGATATTACCCGAAATCACACCAGACATTTCGGTTTACCGTTGTTATGGGCAAGGAAATACGGTTCCTCCCAGTTTTCATATGGCTCCTTTCTTTTGAGAATCATTTGATGATGAATTGTTAAATTTGACCAATTTTATAAATCGAGCGGGCCTTGTGCCTATCGTCAAAGAACAACCAAGTTCGTCTAAGTTGGGATTTTGGGACCCAGCCAAAATAACTGGATCATGCGGCGCTGAGTCAGTTCTGGGTTCCGTCACTGCTATCATATGGCCCACGCTTTAAAATAGAGGAGTGTTTTACAAAAATAAAGGCACAAAACATCTCTACAAATGAGGAGTTGCTTGACGCAGGCTTGAGGTGCAAAGTTGAGATGAAAGGCGCAACTTATCTAATAGGCTGTGTGCTGTCTTCACAAGACAATACATTCTCCTGTTACCGATCACAGGACGGCATTCCCATATCGGCACTGTCTTGAGGTTTATAGATACAACATTGAAATCAATTTTACATCTCCAGATCCCAACTCAGGTTGGAATAGCCTGAAAAAACTCAATCTTCTGCCAATAAATAAAAAATAGTTGCCAATGGTTTCAGTATTCACCAAAATAAAATTGTTCTGTGTCCACGCACGCGTATCAAGAGTATTATACAAAATAATGTTTAATATCCATGGTTGGAATTCTTAAATAGCCATTGGATGTCACCATTATAAACACTCAAAGTGTGACAGAACATTGGTTCTGCGGTTCTGATTTGCTGAACACAATTCTGCATGTTAATGAAGCTATATTCTATGCTTATCCCTCTTGATTAGGACAACTTGATCTCAACAAAAATGGTTCATTTGACATAAGAGTCTTCCACTGCTTTCTGGTCATCCTGAACCAAGTTATCAGCTGCAAATCATTCTGTTTCATCCCCTTTTCGAATTATTCTTTGAAATCTTTTAATAAGATCTTAATTTTGATATTCTTTTTGTTTTGCAGCCATTTCTTGGTTCTTGAAGAATTAGAAGCTTTGTGGATTTCTTGACATCATTTTCAATGGTAAAAATGGTTGTTGTTGCGAGTCCTCAGGAGTTGTGCCATTCATCCTTGTCTGTTGTGTATTATAATGGAATATGGTACCGATAAAGCAGAGATGGGTGTAGGTCATGTTGAAACGATTTTGAATGAAATAAATAAACCTTTGGGTTGCGGAACATTTAAAATCACAGAAAACAATCTAGACTCTGAAAAGTTGCTAAGGCTATTATTAACGATTGCATAAGCAAGACAAATATGTTGGATGTTTTGAAAATATTATCCAAAGCCAAAAAATATTATAATTCGTAAACGGACTGAAACAATCAAACGTAGTACTGAATCGGTTGTTAAAAAAGAAATGGGGATACCTCAAACGCCCCATCAGAAATTTTTTCCTAATGGGTGTGACCCAAAATGCATTGCCTTAGCGACTGCTGCTGTAGAGTCGACACTAAACAGCAAGTTATCAAAATCGCCAAGAAAAATAGTACAAATGAAGGCTGTTTGAAAAATGTTGTTACCAAGGCCAATAGAAAAAGTTTGATGAGATCTAAAATTAAGTCCAGTGATTCCTCATTCATAAAAATCAGTTCATCACACTAACTCTGGAACCAGTACCTAATACTTCAGATTGTGGGACAGTAAAAGATGGTTGGAAATACCAAAATAGTTCTGTCAGTTCAAAAATTCAAGACCTGGTTATTATGTGAATACACAGGCTGAGAAAAATATACAACCATTTTCCAGTCATCTGAACTCCCATAACTCACTAAAAAATTGGCGAAGTGCATCACAGCATTGCCAATCAGGGCACTTACAGAAACAGTCGCATATGAATTTGTCACATGCTGCATCTGCTACACTTGAGGCTTTTGCTGCCATGAGAAAAGTACTAGTTCAAAAGATGGAATGACCAAAACAGGATTGCTACCTTTAAAGCACAATTCACAGACTTCAAATGGCAATAACCACAGAGCAATCAAGGAGAAATCTCGATGCTCTGGTGTCAGTGATCACTACGTTAAATACCTCAATAAACCTAAAGGAGCAAGTCATGATGCGCTGAAGGTTGTGTTTAAAGCAGCTATACCTTTGTTGATAAAATTCCACCTGCGGATGTTGTCAGTGAACCACAATCACAAGGTCATCTTCATGGTCAAGTGAAAAAGAACCTTTGCCGGGTTATAAAGGTTGCAAAAGACACCTAGACATGGAGGAAACTGTTATCCCGAATAAGAGAAGAAGAATAGTATCTCTTTATAGAGTACCAAAACCAAAAGTTAAACCAAAGTCAGACTCTCTTATACTGCAGAAGTTTCCTGGAAATCTTTTAAGAAAACCTGTATGGGTGCAGCCAGCACGAAGAAAGCCAATGGGACAATCAAAATTTGTCCCTCTTGATAAACTCAAATGGAATCCTCTAACGAAAAAATTTGTTATTCCAAAACAGCAATCCACATGTAAATCTGTTCAAATAAACAGTGGTTTACCTTCCCATCTACCAAACCAAAATGCAATAATATTCAGAACCATCATTTTAGAAGAAAAATAACTACAATCAGTACTCCTCATGCAGTTCCAAAGTTGCAAAAAATTACTTCAGTGCCTGGTATGTCATTACTTGCCATGCAAAAAAATATGATGTCAAAAGCACCACAGAATATTAAAGAAGTTAAAATGATATTCAAATGTATGGCTGCACCATCGCCTTCGAATTTCAAAACATATAAAGACTATGTAAGAGTTTCCATTCTTTATCAAGTACGGAAGGTAATGGCTGCCAAAGCATTGCGTAATAGCTTTTTAGAAGGTAAACACACAAAGATGAAGAAAAGAGATGGTGGAGAAAACAAAAATACTGTCAATCAGCATACACCAACTAAGGAAGATCAAAAGTGTAATGTTATGAGTTCTCAAGTTCTTATTTCTTGCCAGACTGAGTTTGCATTGTCGTCATGGTCAAGCAAGCTGCCATTCGCAAATACACTAGACAACACTCTCAGCAATTTGCCTACTGTTTCTTCCGATTGGTTATACCTTTGCAGTGGGAACGTAGTTCAATATCCTCCACCGAAAATTCTTCCGCCTTCATGTAATGATTCAGCAGAGAAGATTTTATATGCACAGGCATCTAATGCATGGCTTTATGATACCCTTGATTCACCAGTAGTTCCTCACAACCAATCCAGTTTATCAATCATAAAACACACAGGTGGACCTTCCTTCACTGCTCCAAATATTGCATCTCCATTGGTAGTGGATTTTTCTAGCTCATGTAAGAGCCCAAGGAGATTTAGTACAGGTAAAAGCATCATCTCTCCACAGCAACATGATGAGGAGTACCCCAAAATGCAGCGATCTATGAGCAAAGCCAAGATATTGAATCGAGAAGATGGTAATGCTCTGAAGAAAAGTTCCCATGTTCCACCTCTAGTTACTGTGTTCGTTTCAGGGAGAACTTTTGCACAATGGACTGTTCTTGTGAATCGGTAAATTTGAAACAATTTGCCAAAGAAACATCAGTATATACTGGTTCAAATTATGTTCCATTTTCTAATCATTACATGAGAGACACTAAAAATGGAAAGTGTTTCAAAGAAACACCAACAACGATCACAGAAAAATATTCTGAAAACTGTAAAATAGAAACTGATTTCAGTTCTATTGAATCTGATTTAAGGTTGTTGTCGAAATGGGATATGAAACAGTCAATTTATTGTAAATCAAGAAGCCATACTGCACCGTCAATGCCAAGGCGGAGCTGGTCAGGGCAACTTGTGTTTAGGTCCAACCAGCTTAACCACAGACTGAATGGTTGTCATAGGCGGGTTGATGATATTGAGTTTGTTCGTAAAATTGGAAATACCGAGATATACCACCATTGTGGAGTGAGGAGGCTCAGTACACCAGAAACGGAATCAAACCTCGATTTTAATAACTTTTGTTCACTTCGACCTAACAGGACTTTTGGTAAGACTGAAATTATTTACAGAAAAGGAATGAAAGGGGTTAAAACTGAGGTATCTTTTCCACCTGTCAAGAGATATTTCCCAACAGTGGAGAATAGCACTCATACTAAAGAATGGATACCGTTTATATCGGATTGTGATATTAATGGAAAGATGCGATCACGTAAACGTTTCAATACTCGCAAACTTTCACGTTTACAAGCCAATAAGGTAAAATTTCGACATTGCCTTTACTCTTACACAAAATATCAATTGTCAGCTATGGCAAAAAGCCTCACATCATCGGCCAGACATTTTCCACTGTGCGCGACCGCCAACGAGAGAAATACATCTCTTAGCAGTCTCACAGACACTAGCGAAAATACAAACGACATTCCCTTGATACTGCATAATGATTCGGAGAATGTCGGAGACACCTCTACACGAAAAGTCAACAATGCGTCGTCGCCATTCAATACAAATTATGAAAGCTCATCGCCTTTTCTCATTGGTTCAACCGGTGGTTTGGACTGTCAGAACGCGAAAACCACCCAAGCAGAACATTCTCTCACAGAGAGCGTGCAATCTAATGCCCTAGTTTTAAAAAATGTACCGGCAACATCGTTCATTCATGACAAGGAAATGGGCAACAAATTGTATAAGCCAAATTTGTTGTTGGATATAGCTTCTGCTATAGCACCAGAATTTACAGAAGACAGTTGTTTAACGCTGGTTCAGGTACTTTAAGTCTCGACAAGGCAAAAGCAAAAAATGAAGTTGTAATGGGCGTTGAAAGTAATGTTAAACGAGATTTGGCATTTGATTTGCCTGACGTTTCTGAGGATTTGATGTTAGAAGAAACTGATTTTGATAGCCAGAAATCGAACGCAGAAATTCAGCAAGAATGTCAGCCAATGGATATATCGGAAGATATTTCTTCCATTTTGCCTGAGGAAATTTATTTGGAAGATACCATTGATACGACTGTAGGCGCAGAGCCTGACATAAAACTAGATACAGACGATATAGTAAATACTGCTATTTATGATAAAAACAATCGGTCGTTTTTGCCGACGCATGAAACCAATGTAGGTAATCATACATCAGAAAGTAAGGACTTTAACAGTATTAGATTTGAAGCTACAAACAAAAACAAGGAAACTAATGATCAAATCAAAACAGGTTCGAATAAGATCGTTCCGAAGAAGCCGGAATTGAATGCTGAAACGCAACAAGTTGCCTTAGGTGATCAATTAAACGATTCACCGGTAGAAACGCGGTCGTCGCACAGATTAAGGTCAAGAATAGGAAAAAAGCGAGGTCGTTATGAATCTGATGATTACGTTGTCGATATACCCAAACCAACAAAAAAACCTAAAAGAGTTTTGCCAACTCGGAATTACGACAACGACAATTTTTGGCAGTTTTATCGGGACGCTGAAAAAACCATTCATGCAAGAAATCTTGTCCTCCAGAACAGGTATATCAAGCTATTTAAAGCTAAGGATGTTAATTGTAAAGTTCTGCCACAGTTCGCTGGATTACAGAGTCAATTTACGGATGTGGTGTGCCCGTCAGCATACGCTACCAAAACTGAATCAGAACCAGTGGTACCAGACACCGGTATACCTGCGTTTTTGACAAGGTATACAAAGTCTAGAAAAAACAGTCCAGAGCTGCCCAAAGTAGAAGGTAAATATTTATCTTTTTTTACTGGAGATTTTATCTGCCTACTCGCTGTCAATAATGTTTGTTTATGATTGACCACATCAACCGTGGTCATTCGAGACTAATCTTATCGACAGTCCTATAATCGACTGCGCAATACAGCGATTATTTTATTTAGTATTAATCAATTCTCCAGGTAATGTACTTATTCTGGCATACATACTTGTTTTAATTAGCAATGGCACCTAATTCAACATGATTCAGTGAAAATTTGTATGGTTGATTTCGTTGATAAGGCATTTTTCAAATAATAATTGAATGTTTTTACTTCAAGTATGTTGTGAAATTTAATACTTTACACGTCTTTATACCGCCCGCAAGGAAGTGTCGGTTACTATGAAACGCACCGATTGAAAAATGCTGACTCCACTGTTTGATGTTTGGAAAAAATCAGATAACCCTATTGTGTTCATTGTATCTTGTATTTATAGTTCCCAACCATTGTCGATAATTTCTCGCTTATTTTCAAGCTCGCCTTTCCTCTCACCATGCATATGTCTCTGTTTTTATTTGTTCAATTTTTAATGAATAATTAGATGCGCAACGGACAATCTTATTTGGAACAGTTTAAATGGTGTGTATTGCGTGCATAGATATGTATTCAAAAAATAATATTAAGTTAAAATATCAGTAATACTAACGCAAATACAAAGTAAAATTGTCTCCAAAATGGTAAAATTTTCTCCATAAGAAGGAATTTCAGCTAAGTTGTGTCTGTGTATATAAATATATTTTATTTTAATAGGGCCGTCTGGGTATTTATAATTAGTAATAGGTTTAATGTGTTTTCAGACGGAAATTGTCCTTACTGCGGTCGATCTTTTGCGGAACAACCAAAGGAAGTATTGGATTCTCACATGGCCCGACATAACATGAGATATACGATCCTATCAGCACCAGTGTTGTCTAAAAAGAAAAAGAAATCAAAGACCGCTCGAAAGGATTCTGTTTTAAGAAAGCCGAAGCCCGGTAATAGCGCTCCCACAACGGTGGTCGTCGTAGATCCGCTTGCACCTGCAGATGGTAAAACGACAAGTTCAGGTTCTGTCAAAAATGCTGCTATTTTATATCAATCTCCTAGTACACCTTTAGAGCAGCTGAGAGATGCTCTGCCTATGGCAAAACCCTCTAACATATCAATGGGTCACAGAAAACAAACTGCAAGGAAGTCTTTTAATATAGCGTCAACTCTGCCCAAGGATAAACTTATTGCAGCTTTAGCTTGTAAAATGCGATTGCCTTCAACACAAAATGAAACACCTACCTCGGCTATTGCCAATCATCAAACGCCAAATAGCTGTGCAACATCAACGAAAAGAAATCTGTCGATACCAAGGCTACGCCAAAGTCACCTAGAAACAAACAGCCATCTACACCATCGAAGAAAAGAATATCACCAGTGTCCCAACGTGATTTTGTATCATATCCGTATGAGAAATCCCCCATAAAAGAAGTCATTGGTCTTACAAAGTATGCTAAATGTTTGCCCGACTCGAGTGCTATTTCGTAAATGCATATGTTTGGTTGCGTATAAATTTTCCAAACATCAGCATAAATCTAACCGAAAAGAATTCGCGATTGACCCAAATGATTCAATAATTTACGTTTTTTTTGTTTTAAGACTTGCAAGCAGTAACGAACTATTAAAAGTGAAGTATGTAAATATCGCAGTGTAGCCTAAACTATACTGTTATTAATCGATGGTCAAAGGCGCAAATGTTGAAATAATAAAAATGGACATTATATTTAAAGATACTACAAAGGAATAGGCGCTCTTTCAGCTAATATGTAATCGTGATATTAAGCAATATTCGTCAAAATATTCCAATAAAAAATAAACGGGGAGTTTAAAAAGATATTTTACTAATCCCAAAACAGCATTTTCGAATTTTGCCATTTTGAGTTAATTGCAGCCTTCGAGTACCTGGACGAGCACCTTAGCATACAGCAATGACCTGTAATCTTATATTTTTTAAAATTAACATTATTTGTATATACGATTGTCAGGTCAGAATGGAGATGGAGAATAACAATGCCCTTTGTTCTCAGCGATTAAATGTGTGGCCATTTTTATATATCTTACTCTTAAGAGCTGTTACGTCGTTTTTCGGGGTATCATCGTGTTTTTCTTTTACAATACATCTCCAAGTGGGTTGATATCATTTATTTTTTTAAAAGAATTTTTTGTACTTGTGAATTTCGTTGTTTGTCGACTGCCTATCTATATCCGCCAAATTTCGGGACGGTGAGAATAGAAATAAAGGTTTGAATTTAAATGTGAACCTACGCTAGAGGGACAATTTAAGTTACACGATTACAGTATCTGTTTATAGTATAAAAATAACAGGGACTTTGTTTCGTGCATTTTTTCATTTGCTTGGTGCATTACGTCGCACAAACTTTCTAACAGTACCGATAGTATTTGAAAGTATTACTGGTAATTAACTTTGGGTGTGATCATTGTAGCCACCACGGGATTTGTAACATAATATATACAATTATTGTTTGCAGTGAGAGTAACACAAATCAAAACTATACCTAACACACTCAATGCTGTCAAAGTGGGAATGAAGATATTCTAATAAACTATGCCTAAATATGTTTTATATTGATATTGCTTTTAAACAATCTAAATAGATCTACCCAGTGGTGGGATTCAAATTTTTTGTCAGCCGGTTCCATCACAAAAGTCATATTTTTCAGCCGGTTCTGTCACAAACAGAACATTGACAGTAACCAGTAAAGCTTACCGGTTCGCTGATCTCATAAAATTCCGTGAGACGGTTCTATAGAACCGGTGCGAACCGGCGGAATCCCACCACTGGATCTACCTTACTGCATTGTAATAGTGGTACATGGATATTTTCCAGAAGTAGTAAAGAATCATGATATATGTTTACAGCAAAAATAACGTAAATCGGTCATCTAAGAATCTAAATTGTCGAATACTTATTCAAATAGAAATCTTCGTAAGGCTTGATCTTTTGGATATGAGTCAGGTCAGATTGAGAATCGACATAATATTTGTTTGTTGTGTACATTTGAACTTGTACATTTTTCTCAAGGGAAACATCCAGTAGGATCCAATGCGTCCAAGTCAAATTAAAAATGCAATCATTTTTGTTTATTTTCCATTCAATCTCCACTGGAAATGGTCAAATCAATTTGAAATATTTGCCATTTCGTATCGAACTGATTAATACTTTTCACGACTTTATAATTGCGAAAAGTTGCCTTTGCTTGTTACTTGTGAGTACAGGACTTCCAAAGTCCTGGATTATCTTTTCGTTGTCTGAAGTAATTTTGTTTTTCGCTACCATAATGTCTATTTATTGTTGGATGTGTTTTGTATTCCACATAAGAATTTTTGTACTAAATTATCACGATTGCTTTTTCTCTATTGTTTGAGATTCTGGGAAAAGAACTTCACGTTGTAAATCTTTTTGATATTAAGGCATTAGATTAGTCTGTCAGGTGGCATGTTAAAAAAACGGAAGGTTTTTAGTCGTTCGCCATCGGAACACTAGTGTGGAAAATATGAGATGAGCGGCTACGCAAAGGCAAGGACTGTGTTTGTGTTGCTATTTTCATCGTGCCTGAAAACATTTTAATGGTACAATTACCAAAAGCGTAAAAATATCAAAACATACTCTTTCGGCCGCATTTGACTATAAAGGCTATTAGTCATAGTGTCAGCGACACCGTTTTGCCCGGTTCAGCTGCAGATGGTATCAGTCAAACGACAAATAATGTGAACTATTTTATTTATTTAATATGTCACATTGAATGAATACAATTTAGGAAATCTAATCGAGAGAGTTGATCAGGAAATGAGGTATAATTTAGCATCCTAATGTCATGCTCCGGTGAGTGCATAGGTAACAAAGGAATTGCTGATTAATGTGAGTTTGCAAAGCGCAGATAACTGCAGGGATGCAATGCAAGCACGAAAGGGAGATTATATATGTTATAGTTTTGGAGATTATGGGAACGTCAAAAGAATTTGGGCGAGAGAATTATCGAATTTCAGTGGACATCACCACGGACATTTTAAGCAATAAGGCATGCATAATGAAAAAAAATATTTGACAAATACGCTTTGAGTTATTGTAGTTATGTATCCATGTTCATGTTTTAAGTTATCAACAGGGATATTCATATATGGTTTGTTATGGTACGAATGTTTTATTTAAGCAGTCTAATTATCTTTTTCGTAAAATCAAGTCAGTAGTAGATAGCATTTTATTGTCCAAAAGTTGAATGTAGCAGCGACGGCATCAGAGCTGCAAATGCAAGTCTGAAATTCTGAATTCGAATTAAACGGCGGCTGTATGTATTGCGCAATATAACCTTATTATTGCACAATCGGCTTGAATTATTTATCGTCATGTCAAGATAGATCGAATACGATTCACTTAGCATGCAGCAAATTCCCAATTGTAAAGTTAGGTTCACAAAATCTATTTCTAAATTTTCGTTTGGTACCAGTGAGCACATTCCATGGGGAAGATGTTATTACTAGTGGGTAATTATTACTCCGTGCGACAATCACGCAATGAGCTATCGCGCCGCGGACTTTTTATAGCAACGAGCAATCGTCTGCTTGCCGAAGGCGCTAAAACTGCAGTCCTCAGATTTTCATCTTTATGTTACTGTATACACATTCTTGTACAAGGGCTCCTCGGCAATCATTTTTTTTCGATTGTTTGCGTCAGGACGTTGAACGTCCATCTTTTAGGATCCAGCTGCTCAATTTAAATATCAATCTTATGCATAGGAACAAGTTCAATCGTCCAAAACTATTCATCACTGCCTTCGAGATTTTGATCGTTGGATGAAAGAATCGTTTAAGAAATTTGAATCGTGCGAATTCTATGACCACGCCAATTTTAAACATCGGACGTCTGTGCAAAATGGTTGCAGCATGTCTACCAAATTGGCAGCATTTGTGACATGGTCAGGTAAAGAGCTTAAGTGTCCACTGAACTTTATACCGGTATTAATTATGTCGTAATTTTAATCGATTTGCAGCGAGTCCTGTAAAAAGCCATGGCTGCTATCCACTCAGTGAGTGGTGTCTCATATTGTCGTGTCTCACTTGTTCTACACTTACATAATTGCATGAATATCTCTTTACATGAATACTTTAGCCAGAATAGGCCCCACTAAATATGTCCTAAACTAGACCATGTCGATGTAATGTATCCCATTAATAAAATAATTGTTCGTATAGTTGCACTGTTTCATTTGAATATTCACAGACTGGGATCTCGGGCAATGCTTGCAAAATGAATGTGTCCGAAAAAAAATTTTGAAACCTCGTGAATTGAATAGCTGGATTGATCTGAGGCATTTTTATCGGGTAATTTGAGTAAGATTTTTATACAATATTCAGAAATGTAATTTGATGTGAAACCATTTTAAAATTGCCGCAATTTTAAGCCAGTTCTCTGGCCTGGCTGATGTTAACCGTCTTATTCAAAGACTGTCACGATCACATAATGCGGTTGAATAGCTGGATTGATCTGAGGCATTTTTATCGGGTAATTTGAGTAAGATTTTTATACAATATTCAGAAATGTAATTTGATGTGAAACCATTTTAAAATTGCCGCAATTTTAAGCCAGTTCTCTGGCCTGGCTGATGTTAACCGTCTTATTCAAAGACTGTCACGATCACATAATGCGGTTCAAATTTTAATATTCAATTCTTTGCGTTCTTTCGGCACGCACAGTCGCATAAGGCCGGTGTTAATAAGATCTATCGAGTAGCCTACTATTCTGCTTAAATCTTCCAAAACATGACATCATATTAGTCTTTTACCTGAGATATACAAATCTTTATATTTTTGATGTTATCCCGTAGAATTTTTACAAACGAAATCCCAGCAATCTGCAAGACGCGCTGGAAAATGTGGGATTGAAGTTTGAAGGTCGTGCTCATTCAGGTATTGTCGATGCTCAAAACACCGCAAGATTAGCAGCAGTTATGATGAAAGATGGCTGTGTTTTAAGAATTACACGAAATATTCAAAGCGATGGTAGAGTAAGTACTTATCGTATCCACTTTTTACACTGTTTATTCAAGGCATCCGACCAAATAAGAAGGCATTTTTGTCACCATTGTGCTACTTATTTAAAATATCATCTACGAGGAGTGCATGGGTTTTTTATCAATATACCTGCATTAGAGTGAAAACGTTCATTTTAAAAGTCTGGTGACAATTTCACGCGATAAGCCAACTTATGTATATAGTAAAAATATCTAACGCTGGGGCATAGTTAATGTAATCTTATTGGATCTTAAAACTCACTAAACTCCCCATTTTTGTTCAACCCCGCTCCTTAATGTTCGTCTGAGTTACGATTTAGAGCTACTTATTTTTCAATCAATGACTCACATGGTAGCTAGCTATTCGCTTAGTTATTAATACGGTTTAAGGCCGATATTTCTTCCGTACAAGACTACTCATTTGTCTGTTGGCTCCCTTATCTTGCTATATGTTGTCGCCATTATCTCCATTCATTGTTTATGCAAATCAAGCCATATTTACCGTTTGGCAATAATAACAGGTTATGGAACTGTCACAAAATACAGACTCTTTCAAAAATTAATTGAGCAATCGTTAATGGTAAATGGTAATGTTTTTGCAGAGAGTTCATTCTGTGCCACCACCATCGTCGATGAGTGCTATATTAGATAGAATGAGAAATACCGAAGAAAAAGGTAAAAGTGTACCGTTTATTTTTTTTGTAACTCAAAGTTGTTGAATTTTTAAATACGACCCGGTTTTGAAAAATTATTCCTCAATGTAATGTCAATTACATCGGAAAAAATACATGCGCCTAAAGCCCTGAAAATTAGAAAAATAAAATCAGATGCATAATACCTGTGGCAAAATATTTATGAATTGCAGTCTGGAGAGAAGACATCAATGTCGAAGAACAAGTCATTAATGATCAACTCGTTTGCTTGCGTGGGATAATTCTGTTTTATTTTTGTTTGTTTATTTCAGGAAAAAGGAAACACGTGGAATCAGAAGCCATTGATCCAAAAAAGTTTCGGAATGGGCAGCTTAAGGGTAGTTAATTATTGGACCTCCATGTCCATATACTTCAGCATTGATCTCTGTTTATATGTAGTATTGAGCTTCACCCGCACTATTCCACCACTGTGTTTTATGGGGAGATGATTGTCTAAAACTGGTTCCAAATTCCGCAAGTTTCATCCGAAAGCGAGTTCAATAATTTTCATCTCAATTCATTTAACTGTGTTCATCGTGTCATATGATATTCATATGTCATATGACAAATATCCGGTTTCATATGTAAATTTATAGTATAAATATCCAGTCTCGAATGACATGTTCTTCGTAAATAAAATGATAATGTGCAAAAGCCCGACGAGATGTTACAATAATGTTCAACTAATCTTTGAGTAAACCAAAACTCCAAGCAACGTGGCAGCTCCAAGAAGAAATGATGCTAAAGTAATCTTCATCTCATTTTCCATTTTTAATAAAAGCGGGTGTGTATTTATCCAACGTCCAACAATTCCACCCTTGACATTTGTATGTGGAAACGGTTAGTCAGAACTGGTACGTCTAGAAATTTGCAAAGTGGTTCCCATCCATCTTTCACATTGAAAATCAGTAGTTTCGTTTTGGGTGCTTTCTGCAAAAACGTCACGTTAACAATATTGGACCCGATCAGAATTATCTATTACATGTTTAGTATTGGCGAGTCTTGAGTGTTAAGTCGAACTCGGTAAATTGCAAGAATGAATCAACTTTAAACGAGTTTTTGGAAAAAAAAAATAGCGCGAAATATAATTTACCACGAGGAATTTGAAAATTAGAGCACGGGACTGTTGCAGCAATAACTCGAGGTAGGTCTCATCAAAGTCGAGATGTTACAAATCTCAACGTAAATGTGATTTACTGTTGTTCATTTTATCATCTGCCTATAATTCGGACTAGACTTGCGACTCGAAACGCCAACGATCAAACCAATTACACTTATTTGATACCCACAAATAGTGACACGTATACCAAAAAAATCACAAAATATATATATGTTTCGTTTATCACATAAACAAACGAATGTTACTGAATGTCACATCCGGCGATCGGACTAGGTACTAACGTGCAGAACATATGCGTTGTGTTATCTGTAAATTAATTTTAGGAGTTGTTCATCCATCTTTCTTCCAAACCATTCGGAATCAAACATGCATTTATCGCCGTAAATTTTTTCGCCTACTCGATAAAATTTTTTATGTTTGAGGATATGAAAAAAAGTTTTGTTTGTAGGATTAGTAAAGTCACCTGTAACCACCATGCATCTGGAAATATGAACGACTGTTAAATTAATAATAAATATTCGCATACTCGACCTGGAATGGCAACCACTTGAGGGAAAGCCTATATATATGATTAAACTCTTTTATTCACTCTCGTCTCCATGGATTTGATATGAAAATTTTGTCATGAGTGAACCGCGTTGGTTCGCTCTTTGTAAACCTAAAACTTTCTTTCCGGGCGAGATAATGGGTTTTACATAGTAATAAACCTTTTCAAATTTAGTCTATCCAAATCGAACTTTAAGATTTATATTGAAATAGACAAACGAAAAATGTCATTTATTATATAAATCGCCAAATAAAACAGTTGAACTTTAGTTACACATTCAAATAGTATAAAACAGGATACATGTTTGACTTCGACAGTCGTCAGTGAAACTTCATCGCATGGTACAGTACGATGGACCCTTTACAATTTATTTTCTGATACGTTACAAATCAAAAACTAGGGTTTTTATGAGTAAATGGATATCGGTTTTCACATTTTGTATATTTATTTCAAAATCTCTAATTCTCTACTCTGTAATTTTGTTTTTCGTAGATGAAAATATAAGACACCCCCCGAAAATAAGCCCTAGTGTTATTTTTCGGAAGAAAACTGAAATAAAACTTATTCTTATTTTTGGAAAAACACGGTATGGATCGTTTTGTTATCATGTTGTTCTTGTTCTTTATGTTAGAATTTTTCTCCTCCTTCCTTCGTTATGAAAAAATCTCTTAAATGATTGGACCAATCTTTTTGAAATTGTCAGTGGTTAAAGATCGTATTTTTCTTTGGGAGGCTATTACTTTTATTCATTTCAAATATTTCTGTGAGCTCTATGGGATTCGTTTTCGTGTACTATGACCTTGTCAAAATTTGCGCATTTTGTTGCGGCTCCGCGAAGGCATATCCGCGCATCTCGTGCTCATCGAACGTCGGCTGATCTCGTGCTTACCGAAAGTGGAAAGTTTCAATGTGGAACGATAGACTGTAGAACGGTACACAAGCGACTCAGACCAGTTGATATTTCAATTCACATTGAAACTGAGTCATGAAGAATGGATCATCGTCAGAGGACCTGGAAATCTAGGACAAACCATGTACCGTTACCGGTACCCTGATACAGGTTCCGTATACTTTTAGTTACCGCATAATATTTTCGGGGAATTGATGATAAAATATTTTGTTTTGCCCTCCGTGTCCATATATTTGAGCAGAGCTTTCTCTCTCTTCCGCTGAGTTCACCGCCTAAGTATCGACAGCCTTATCCAGTCTGGCAAATTCAGAGATTTCATTGTTGCGTCTTCTGCAATATTCGCAGGTTCACTTCCGGGTGATTGCCTGGTAAGCGCCAAATCAGGTGCCAGTGCATTAAAAGTTATTCAGCAATTATTTCTCACCGATTTTCGATATGTAGCCTACTACATTACTATGCTGCAGATAATGTAACAACACAATATTTCAGTCTAATTAAAATTGACAGATTGTGACTTGGCACGGTGCTGTACAAAAATATGATATATACTCATCAAATTTGCTTAAAAATGTTATCCTACAAAATAGGCAAATGCCTAAAGTAGATTAAAAGATACGAAAGATTATAATTACAACACAAAACATAAATTTGCTGTTATTGAATTCAATTCCAATTCGACAGTCACTCCAATTCGACAGTCAATTGCTTCACATAATGAGTCTTCAGCTATAGCTGCTCATTTCGAAACTTTTTTGGATCAATCGCTTTTGCTTTCTCGTGCATGATTGATGACTGGTATTCAAACATTGATGTTTCTCCTGACTGTAATGTATATTTTGCTACATAGTACAATAGCAAAATTAAAGTAACTTTACGAGTCTTGCGCATATATTTATATATATATATATAAGAAACACACCAGCCTTCACTTCATTATGATTTATGATGTTTAAATTCGATAATATATAGATTAGCTTGGGGCACATTGTGGTCACATCGAGCCTGAAGCTATCAAATCAATTGTTACTCTATAGATAAATATCAGCGTTAGCCGTAGCATGTTTTGTTTATTGTGTTTATTTCAGTAGCCTATATTAGTCGCAAAATTAGCCTGCCTCTACGCATATTTATATATTTGGCGATATGAAGGTTCAATCTGCTATAGCCAAGGCAGATGACATGCTAAAATCTTCGTGGTATTTTAATAAAATTCTTGGTACGCATCTCTTTAACAGTCGCAGACTTCTTAAAATTAATCTAAATAATTTAATCAATATTTTTATATATAATATAAAACTTTGATGAAAGTCATTGGAGCCGGCTTCTCAAAGACCGGCACAAAGTCTCTTCATACCGCCTTATTAAAACTAGGATACTGTACCGTATATGACGCTCTCGAAAATGCTGTTTACTTGGAAGATAAATGGAATACAATATTTGAAAAGGGCTGGTCAATTGAAACATTCAAGAAAATGTATGGAAATATCGACGCTGTTGTAGACGTACCAGCATTCTACTTTTGGGAAGATATATACAAAACATTCCCTGATGCAAAGGTAATTTATGTCTGTATTGTTTTACAAGTCTACACTATTTAAAAATGTTCAATGTTCTTTGCATGTAGTATGCTGCCGGTTAGTACAGCACGGTAAACTATTACGTGACCATATATTTGAGTATTGCTCTATTATTGTACACGAAATTGACCTATGGATCGTTTAACAATTATTGTTCTTGTTGGTCGAAAAAAATTGATTTTCTCATTAACTACTAGATCAATTAATTTAAAGCTTTCTGTGATCAAAGATTGTCTTTCTGACTAGAAGACTATTAGTTTTATTTATTTGAAAAATTCATATGGCATCCACGGAATTCGTTCTTTGTGTGCAATTGAAAATTGCGCTCCTTGTGGCGGTTCGCTTTCGCATGTTCAAATCTGCTGCTAAGCTGCGATACGATACCGGAGGCTACTGTGACATATTAGGATGGGATAGGATAGAATATACATATTTATCCTAGGGGAGAGAGAGAGCGGATAAGACGGCCACATGCTGAACCACGGCTTTACGTTCGATTACCATTTCATGTCGGGTATGGGATTAGTTAGTTATTTGTTTTCGGAAGCATGGGCTTGGTGGTAGATAGGCTTGCACGTAATTTACTGATTTACGGAATTACGTAATTATTTGGAGTTACGGAAGGGAAGTTACGAATTACGTAAAGTCGTAATTAATGCATTGAAACGAGCTTTCTTCAAAGCAGTCAATTTCGTCGATTGCGAAAAATGAAAGCTCAACAAGCAGAAGAAGTTAGAGTTCCGGTATTCGCAGCCGTTTATTTCTCTTTTCTCTCTCTTGTTACGTAGGTGAAGGAAGGCATGACGCGTTGCCATTTACTAACCTATTATCAACTTATCTGGCATGGCCAATGTAAATTATTAACGTAGTTAAGGGGGAAGAACTGAGTAGGGCCGTTTGACGCCAACACACCTGGTTTTAACTTCTCCCGCAACTTAACCGTATATAAGGGATAGAATTGCGTTGAGACCGATTGACGCCAACACACCTGGTTTCAACTTCTCTCGCATCTCATCTAGCATGGCCAATGTACATAATAACCGTAGATAGGGGGAAGAATTGTGTTAAGACCGATGGACGCTAACACGCCCGGTTTCCACTTCTTCGCGTGAAATGACTAATGAACGCAGGAGATCAATCTATCAAACATGGTCTATCAAACATTTGTATCCATTTTACTTTTATTTTTTATTTACTTGTTCCAGTTTTCCGTTACTTATGGTATATATGTTCCGTTTCTATTTTATTCTATTTTATAGTCGAGCTGGGAATAGTGGGAAATTCCCCACAAAGTGTGGATTAGCAATGCTTAACCATTCTTTATTGTTAATATCAACACTTGATATATGAATATGGAATATCATACTGTTTTTGGCTGTTTTATTTCAGACTTGGGGTATAAACAGGAAAATATCCATAACCTTTCAACACGACGATCTTGTGAAATTTAACGAAGAGCTTTCGTGACGAATTGGAACCAAATAAACGGAAAGAGCGATTGATCACTCGCGCCAATATCTCGCCGTGATAATTAATGTCGCGCTTATCAAATAGCAATATGACGACAAAAGAGAGATTGCGTAATGAACCAACGCAACTTCGTCTTCTCGGCATCGGTAAAGCGATTGAGACGGCAGAGAAACAACAAAACCACGGATTCCTCGCGGACCGCTGAAAATTTAACTGCTATCATATATAATCAAATATGAGCCAGTGTGTTTATTCTGAGCGAGATCCATTTTCTATTACAAAATCTTGATGTTCTGTTAACGGTTTTATCGTTAATTATCAGTCCGGACTTGGCCTTGCGCATGGTGTTTTTCACAATTCCTCTCAATATTTCGGCCATATATGATTAACTGTCTTACCAAATGCGGCAACTTATTTTGATTTATCGTCGACTTGAATACCACCGGCACTTGACCAAACTTGTCTCAATTTTGGCCGATAGGATCGCCGACTTGAGTTAGCAAATAAATGTCGTGAGTGTAAAATAAATGTCACAAAATGCATTGTGTTGCGATATAACTTTGTATTTTCGGAGAAGTCATATCATATAAGTTCGGTATTTAATATACGCAAATAAATAATATTTGATCTAAATTTATCGCAAATAATGTTATAAACATTCAGTCCGCGAAATGATTAAATGTAAAATGAAGCATGGTAATCGGAATATCGTCAATAAGACGACATCACTAATTATTATTATAAAATGCTAACAAGGCAGTAATGTCGGGTAATGCAGAAGACGCTGCAAAAACAAGTCTTCGTCGCGAGGAAATCGCAAGTATAATCAAACGAGAGAATACGCTCGTCGTTGGTTAATAAATTAGAAACCCGTAATTTTTATTCAGTACTAAGGTGGTTTTAAAAAACTATCGTTTCCATAAATATCCGTATACCAGTGTCGGTAATGATAAAATAAAATTGATTGCATAAAAATGGGACGGTTAATTCTCGAAGGGGATAAAGGAAAACCAAAGCTAACACAAAAGATAAAAATCAGAATAAAATTAATTTGAATTCACTCCTTGATATTTGTCTTTAACATCTGCCGCCGGCGTGTAATACTGCCAAGAATATGAAAACTCAACTTCAATGTTCCATTCGGAAAATAAGTGGATTCAATTGGTTGTTATGATAGGTTTAAATGCGTGAAAAAATATCGCAATTACGAGGTCATTACGTAATTGATTTTGCCGTAATTACGGAATTGATTTTTGTCAATTACGTGCAAGCCTAGTGGTAGATGAAGCCGTAACCGACCAGCGGCTACGTGAACCACCTACGGCGGCGAGGATTCCAGCAATCTTCTCGCACATAACTATCACCGCATGGGATTTGAACCTGCGAACCCACACAGAGTAATCAGAGGTGCGGTGGCGTGCGTATCCTAACGCTTAGCACGATGAGCCCCACCGCCGCGCGTGGGAACACATTTGAGCATCGCTCTACTGTAAGCAAATTTATTGCAATTTCAAATATATCAACGTTTTTAGTGAATTTTTACGACTAGCGCATATGATTCAGTAAACAAATACCAATTAGAACGCTAATATTGAAGTAAGATATGATTTGTTTTAAAGCACGGTGACTGATAAAGTTCAGAGTCGCACGTCAAAGGTAAACGAAGCAGAACTGCTCACATGCAAGTATTTCGACGCTATTATTATATCGCGAAGATTTTTTCCGACACTTCGCGTATGCAGACTTTCATTATTTAGGTCTCTTCTGCAACAACTGTTAATATATACACTGATTCTTTTAGATCATTTTAACAGTACGAGACAACGAAGATGTTTGGTTCAAAAGTTTGAAACAACATATGGAATGCAGAGATAAAATCCTTACATTACACTTATTGGAATGGTTTTCACCTTCGTGGAAGCGGACGCAAGTCATGCGCCATAATTGGGGTAAGGTGATTAAGTTAACTATTTTAAGAACTCCGGGCCACTCTAACCACTGAACTATTTGGCATGTTAAAAATCTTCATTTTATTATTTATTTTTTTTTTCATTCTTATTTTTTCATTTTTTTTAACAATTTATTTCACCACGTGCCGCTTACAGGTACTGATAACCAATGTTAGACTAGGATATCACATCGTTTTCGGGACTACTTTTCGATAATATTGCAACTAGAGCTCCTCGTAAGACATACTCTATTTCACTATAAACCGCCAGTCCGACACGACCAGTTTTAAAAACCCACCCCTTTTCTACAATGCAAAACAATTTCGACATTTCAAACTATGCAGTATGGAATTGGGCCAGCGTCGATAGAAAACTGTATTCGGTTCAATTAGGATAGGATTCGCATAGGTATTCCCACGTAGAAGTGGTAATAGTGCGAAGCGACGAGTTGCCACATGCGTCGCGAAAATTAATAGAATTGTATTGAACATAACTAATATATGATTGAATATTTTACATATTACGTGGCGTCTGCCTCCATTGTTACGTAAAAATGAAGACTGACACTATGTGCTGCAATTTTGTAACCTGCGCGAGCTTATATATCTGCTGCACCGAATTGAGCGAACATCAGTGGTGATTCAGTATTGCAACGAAAAATAAGGCAGAGATGAGAAAAACGAGTTGGTTGTTTACAAACTTTAAAAAGCATAACGTAAAAGTAACGATCACAAAACTGAGTTTTATTTGAAAGTAGCATTTGCGCCATAAGAATTTATCCTGATAATTTGGCGCCGCATGAACAAAAAGTTTGGGAACCGCTGTCATATAGGAATATTTGATTCACTAGTCCATCGTTCCGATGACAAGGACATTACCCATCTTAGAGATTTTCTTCAACAATATATTTTTTCTCGAATATAGGTGAAATAATTTACGGCGATAGATACATGTTTGATTCCAAATGGTTTGGAAGGAAGATGAATGAACAACTAATAAAATTAGTTTACAGACAACACAACGCGTATGTTCTGCACGTAAGTACTTTTATAGTTTTTTCTCGTACAAATGATGGGTGTGACTTATTTGTTATTAAACATTTGATTGCATAAGACGTGATAAATGAAAATATACAGTATTTTGTAGTTGGCACGTGCCTATTTTATTTTTAGGTTCGTGTCTATAGTCCCGTCCAAAAATGAGAGCCTTTTTTTTAATTCTGATCGCGTTCACATCTTGCATGTTATGCGATTTGACTCAATATTTACATTTTTACCGCAAAAATCGTTTATGGTAAATCGTTTTTAACGCATTTTTTGGTCCGAAATTTGCTTACGTTATCCTTTTGTTCAGTTTCCTTTTTTATTAATTACGACTCACTTGGCATTTTTTTGCGACCTCCGTGAACTGAAATAAAAAAGAAAGTGGAATATAATTCCGAAAAAAATAATAATAAAATTGACAATACCTTTAATGAGACTGATGTACCTGCGTATGTCGCACAAAAGATCAAATCTACGCTGTATTTCGGCGATGGTGGGTTCCAAATCTTTCAAATTTGATCAAATATTTTGTTTTAATTAACATGAGTTGGTGTCAAAAACGATTTTACCGCGAGCTTTATTGAGCTCCTTTTCGACCCACTGGGGTTAGGGATCCTCAATACGAATCAACGACTGAAGTTTCCCAAACAATAAACAATTTATCATGAATGCTCACATATCGACTTACTAATTCTTGATCTATACATGTATTTCAAAAGTCTATTCATACAAATATTGTTGATGTGATGTTTTTGCAGAAGGCACCTAAAACGAAACTACTGGTTTTTAACGTGAAGGATGGATGGGAACCACTTTGTAAATTGGTAGACGTACCAGTTCCTGATGAACCCTTCCCGCATACAAATGTCAAGGGTGGAATTGTTCAGCATTGGATAAATACACACCCACTTGTATTGAAAATGAAAAACGAGATGAAGATTACATTGCCATCAATTCTAATTGGAGCGGCCACGTTGCTTGGAGTTTTGCTTTACTCAAAGAAATGGTAACACGATTGCAACACTTTGTCGGGCTTTGCACACTAACAATTTATTCACAAGTGAAATTTATTTGTAAGTGGATAATGATTTCCTACCGTGTTACATAATGAAAATAGTTGAAGTTAGAGCGGTAGACCCAAATTTTATCGATATAATTTTGTTACGTTTGATGCGACGCAGTTTTCAACCGGTTCAAGACATAACACAGTCAAAATTATAATTGCTCTCTAGTCGCTAATTCACGCCTACAAAATCCCAAGAAAACTCAGCAATTCCTTTGTTGAATGAACTAGAGAAATTGAAAACAATCTGGTCTCATTTTAGTGAGGTAGTATAGCTCTAAACTTCAAGCAAGTCAGCGGGGTAGTTCGGGTATGAGCCAATACTCGTAAAGGATGAAATGCAAATATAAACATTGAGATATTTCTCATTTATTTGGCGCATCTGATTCGTTCAGGGCTAGATTGTCATGATATATTAAACCAAATATTTTGTTTGTGTATCTATTCTATGTCCTATCAGACCATTATTACCCAGGGCTAAGCGCCCATAAAAACAATTCACACAAACAATTCAAACAAACTTTTGTAATCTTGGAAGATCGCAACATATTTTTTGAGGAACGAGGGGAATATATTTTGAAACAGAAACGACAGAGAAATGAATAAAAAAAAGTGAAAGTATGAAATGATTTTGATGCTTCATGCAGTGACTCGAAACTATATTCTATCAGGATAATACGAAAAGTGTAATCGAGGGTAAAGTAATATTCTTTGTACCCCAAAATAAATCGAGTGGCCAAAAATTGTTAGGTCAATCAAAATTCGAAAGTAATGCAAATCAAAAAATTTGGTTTCAATAGATCGAATAATCAGAATCACAGCAGACTGCCTAAAAAAATACTTCAAACAAAATTGATTACGGTAAATCGCATTTTACTAGAGATACAATTGCTGATTCTTAAGTCCAATTTATTCTATCTTCCATTGCATGAGCAGAGCATTTTTGATTGGTTTCTACTCTAAGTGGGTAAAAGAGGTTCCACCATTTATAAAGTAATCACACGGCAGTGAGGTACTAGGCTAAACGTAATATCAGATTAGGAGATTAATTTGTGAACAAGCAAGTTATTCTACAGTGACCAGGTGCTAAGCTATCAAGTCATTTTTGTTGCAATTAGGAAAAAGCAGAATGAATCTACATTTCAATCTCATATTACAGATCAAATTAAACAGACAGAATTAACTCCACTGTAAGCGCGACAAATGAAAAATGACAATTTTAAGATTCGGTATTCAGTCTATGTAGAATGGGAGATGCCACACATTCGCGCTTATTAGGTTGAATGCTTAAAATGTGATGAGGAGCATGCGTTTGAAGTGGTTTAATTTTATCTTGTGTATCTGAGGTGTTATTCATTAGGTAGTAAATAAAAGAGAAAGTTGCGATCATGCTTTCACCTTGTAAGCTGTTGGACCCACAAATTTGGATCATGGTGCGTGTAAAAAACCGTTCGCAAATAGGCAGGCTTGTTCATGGAAACGTCCTATGGGATGGGATGGGACAGCACACATTTGCATTTCTCATGGGACACGCAATATTTGAGACACCCATTTTTATATAAGATTAATAATTTGCTGAATGAGCAGAGTGATTCAGAAATAGAATTAGAGTGCCCTAATGGTTCTGAATTGCCGTAGTTACTGGACAAGGAGTGGACCAGCATTTATGCATTTGCATGCATGTAATTTATGAGATCTGATATTCCATCCAAAATCTATGAATTATTTTTTATATTTAAGCACAGCTCTCTTGTTAGTTATATCATAGTTCTGAATTTTTAAAGTTAACCTAAATTTAACAATCCCATGGTGTGGGATGGAACGGGACAGAAAAATGTGTCCCATGGACAAGCCTGCATATAGGACATAATCAAGATTCGATGCACGAATAATAAATGAAAAGGTAAAATAAATAAAATAATCAACAAAATCTATTTAGTGACTATCTTGCCCAATGCTGGTGAAGGTAGTGGAGGTACTTGTGGTTGACTGGGATTTAGGGCGATGCCGTCTGGGAAGAGTGGCAGCAGTTTCGTATACTGGTGGATGTTGATTATCTTTTTTTCTCTCAGAAAAGAAACGAGACATTCTTGCCATAGAACGCACAATACGGCCTGAGGCAGCAGGGGGTGAATCTGGCTGAAAAGCATTATCGCTTCCAGATTCTAACCGCAATCGTCCATTAGACATGAACGGTTTAACTTCTGGGTTATTTGAAACGCGGGCTCTATCCGTTTCTGATACAGTGATGCTGCGAGTTTCTAATGCTAACTGATCTCGACTGATACGTAATTCGTCTGTAGCGCTAGCAGGAGTGCCATTTGCTCTCTCACCATTAGAAGTGTGGTTTCCATTCGTTGTGGCTCTTCCGCAATTTACATACGGCACTCCATCGCATTGAAGCCACACTGGAAAGAATCGATCTATTGCTCGATAGATGGCGTTAGAATATAAAAGTGGATTCAACGCGCTGTTGATGGGCAAGAAAAACGCTGCCGAGATTTGATACATGAGAGGTGGTATGTTGCTCCCGCTCAAAGATATGAGGCAAGTTATACAAATCGGCATCCAGCACACGAAATCGGTAAATAAAAGTCGACTTATACGTTGCCAGATAACTCGATCTTCCCGTGATCTCAGTTCGTCTACAGATGCAAACGACGAACCTCGTCCAAATGATAAACCTGTTGAACCAAATCAAACAAATTAGATTAACATATTTTTGTGGGGCTGATAATGCCAGAGGTCATCGGGTCAAAGCGCATCTTACTAACATTTGAATATGTACATGCAAGATATAGCATAGCATACGTATGCATTTCGAATTTAATAGGATCTTTTCTCAGTTGTAGATAACAAGCGAATATTATATAAATTAATCTAAAATATACGACGCCAAAATCCGTTAGAATACTACAATTTATTTTTGAATAGACTTTGTGTCATCATCAGCAAGAATAATGCATTAAAAACTGTTACCATTCCGCAATGGGAATTTCCAAAGTATTGCCAATACGCTCTGGGCATTTGTTGTGGTGTGCTATTTTTATATTGCCGATGTAGCGGTTGATACGCCCACTGGGAGAGCTAATTACACATTGTTACCATTTTTTGTCAGTCTTATGTTCGGTATGCTGGCTGGAGGCCAAAAGTCAGTGACGTAATGACTTGAAAAGACAATCATGTAACGTGGGAACGTGGTTCTGTTTTTCAAATGCGGTATTTTACACACTTTTTGTTATATATTAACGTGATTCAATGATTAATATTCTTGTTTTGTGTTTACGTATTCAGAATTAACAAAACAAATTTTTTCCTCAGTCATTATACGTTTTTTAAATACAAATATAACATATAAGCATCAAAGCTTGATTCCGTCAGTTCAGATTCGATATTTGACAATCAGTTAAAAATTCAGAATCTTTATCATTTAAAACGTATTCTACATAGTTTTTTGAACGGTACACCTCTTAGTAGATTAGTTGACTTATTTAAAAAAACCTCCAACAAGGCTCAGATGAACAAAGAAAATGTGGATAAAACATGATTAAAACCTAAAAAAATGAGATAAAAATTGAATACAATCTCACCGTTCCCTGGTTCGTTTGATCTTCTTACTGTGCAAACGTATAACATCGTATAAACGAGTAAAATATAGATAAAAGAGACAAAATCAAACGCAATAACACCAGCGGTGTAGTCCCATCCGCTGTCGTTGTAATGCGGAAATAATCTGAATGATAAAATAAGTTTGTTGAATACGTTGCATATCGGCAGATATATAAATATCGTAAAATATCACTTTGTTATGGAATAGATTCTACTTTTGACAATGAGGACCTTCGAAGATGACAAAATGCGCCATATTTATGATTCATAAAATTTTACGCTTTATATGAAAGTAACCCGCCTGGCTACCAGTCATGTCAAAATCTAATGGGAGATAATTGTTTGTTAGTGCCATAATGAAGTTGTACTGTAAAGTGCGAGTTTTTATGCAGTTATTTTATTATTTTCACTCCCAAAATACGCCCAACCTGGTTTAAATTGACAAGCTTGCGAGGAATCGTGATTTGCTATTACCATGATAATGAAATCCTTTTCTGGAGTAACACTACACGTATATACATTTCAGAACATTTCACAAATTTATGAAATGGATTGAAATTTGGATGCATTTGGCATTTGTAATTGGCATAGATTTGACTCGAAACCATTTAAATTAGACTATGATTTGATATACTCACCGCGGCAAGCATACACTATCAGCACTATAGTATCCAAACCACTTCTCAACTATTTGATTATCTTCATTGGAAGAGCAAACTTTTGGATATAACTTGCAAAATTTTTGAAATAAATCAGGCCAGCCCTGTGGCCCAAAGTCTGACGAACTGAAATTTGACATCAACCAAGATCGTCGCACAAAATCCTGGAATTCAGGTTTCCCCAAAACGGCATTGTCGAAAAACCGCAATTTGCTTCTGCTGAGAAAAGCAAACGCTCTGTCGTATCCCACGAGCGGACAAACGGCCACAAAAGCAGGAGGAACCCAACAGGCTATCACAACTGCTACGAGGTAACGAGCTTTTAGTCTTTCTGCTCGAAATGGACTGCGGACACTGTAGAATCTGTAAGTTGTCATCATGACCATGATAAGAACTGATGTCTGACTCGACAACACAGCAAGAGCGCCGAGCCCTGAACACAGTGGACTTGTTCTCCATTCTTGCCAATATTTGCAATATTCGTCGCTGTACTGAAAGTTAAATAAAGTACATTGTTAATTGAAGTGTAATAAATCAGGAAATGAATGCTCAGATATACGGACGCAGAGGTCAAATGTCACACAAAAGTGTTATCACATGTCATATTAAAGTGTCCCCATATGATCAAAATGCAAAATTTTGAGTAAAATATCTGACCATCCCCTGTAGGACATAGAAAATATTTGAAAAAAGAAAAATCTACTCGAATCTTTGTCCAACTTTAAGTATTAAAAATTTAAAATCGATTAGACCAGCAGTTGTGGATGAAAACGATTTCTTCACAACAGCAACGATTTGTCCAAACTCGTCGAATAAGTCGCAAGCATGTAACACATATACATAAAAACCTCGAGATTGAGCTAAACATACTTGGTTAAAACTACAAGTATTTGAAAAATTGGATATTTGCTTTCTCCATTAAAAACGTTATGTGGCATTATATTCTTGGGAAGTTACGCTTATTGCGCACTTTAGTCGTATTCTATAATGTAATAAAGAAAGTATACATGAGTCGATATTCCATATAAACCATTCCCGTACACTTGCGCTTTCGACCAATTAGGATCATATAATGACGCTTTTATCACATGCCAGAGTAACGTCTTGTAAACGACCTTTTGGACTGTAGTCATATATGATGAGTTTTTTACGCAAGCAAGTGCGTGAATACTTTTAATCAATCAACAAAGGAAGACTAACCTGTTGGGCTTTGATGACCAAGATCAAAAGATAAACTCCCATGAGAAAATCGGCCAGCGCGAGGTTTAGTACTAAAGTCTTGTTGCAAACGCCCACCCTGCCTCGAACCGTCACAGTTGCTCCCCGTCGATAAGTTTCCCAAAGGTCTTTAGCGCAGTTAAAAATGACCAAAGAATTTCCGGCTAAAGCTACAGCGGCCATGATCCACATTAACACAAGAATGACTTTGTACTTTATCATGTGCTGACCTGCAGCAAAAATTGAAAAAAACATGTTTAAAATTCGTTTTATAACACGATTGCTCATATGAATACATGTTAGCAATTTTTTTAGTTGCAGCAATCAAAATGATTAACTCCTTTTGCAGTATCGATTAGTTCTGCAGCATGTTCTAATCTAATTTGTCATTTTCCATTTTATAGATATCCTTGGAGTCTAGAATATCTTACTTCATCGTCATTTGCTTATTACAAATGCTATATCATGTATTTTGAACAGTCAATACGAACATATAAATTAGAAAGAACACTTACCACTCGCAAAACTATTTTCTTTGTATTCACACTCGTCCTCACCATCTTTGCAGTCAATTTTTCCATCTTTAACTCTGGAGTCAGGAAGTCCAGGGGGCATATTGTCATTACAATAAAATCTGTGAGGGCACTTTGCTTCGTCTTCGCCTGTATCTTGACAATCCATGATGAAATCGCACCTATGAGCAAGGTAGTAAATAACAGTTTTGGGGACGGAGTAAACAGTATTGAGATCGGATCATGAATGGAAATATATATATTTTATACATATATATAAAAAGTTAATACAAGTTGTGTGGAGAATAAGTTACATATTTTCAGAATTTTTTTAGACCATGCTAACGGAATTTATCCTGTCGTCTTTCAAGACAATACGTCAGTACGGTAATACATATATTTGTATTAGTGTGCAGCAAGACTCTTGAATCACTTAAAAAAGAAGTTATTTCTTGTTTAAAGTTTTTTTTAGACATACCGTTCATACTCGTAATCGTAGCTATTGTTTTTGCTGGGATCTCCAGGATTACAACGACTAAGTTTCGGGCACGAATCCTCGTCCATTCCGTTCTTACAATCCTGCACTCCGTTGCAAATAAAAGCTCGTTGATCTCGTTTGTCGCATTCTGGTTCGTTTATGACATCACACCCGATCAATTTCTGAGCAGGAATGCTTAGGTTGCAAAATTTGTAATGATCGGGACACTTCGGATTACATTCGTCTTCTCTGTCCGGACATTCTGGGCGTCCATCACACAATGTTGCGGTCACGTGATAACCAGAAGCACTGTAGCAATAAAACGAATCAGTTGAATTCTTTGCGTTATGACATATATCAAAATGACATTCCGGATTTTCGTCGTTGCAAAGTTTATCAGGTTCGACGCAAGTATAATTTCTTTCTTGTCCGCAAGCTATTTTCCCGCTACAGTCGGGGTCCTGCTCTCGAATTTTGTTTTGCATGTTGCAAAACCGTTCCATCTTAAGTTCTTTCGGTATTGTTTTGTTAAAAGAACAAAGGCATTCATCTGATAGGTCTTTACAGTCAATTTGGCTGTCACAAACTTGGACTGCACTGATTATTGTCCCATCCAAGCATTGAAAGCATTTTGAAATGTTAAGGTATCCGCTGTTATTCGCGTAGCAGACATCAGCCGCACCGGGACATATAGCGTGTTTATGATATTTTTCCCTCGTGACTGGGTCTTTCCATCGCTCGATATATTCTTGTGCGATCGTACACCGTTTTGGACGGAGCTCAGGTTTCCGAAATACTTGATTTACGGGACATTTAAACCCGTACATTTCATACGGTTCGTCATCGCCGTTTGGACATTGCTCATATCCGTCGCAAAACCGAGTACACCCATCATCCGGAGGACAAAAATCTCCAAATATAATACATGTAGAGTCACATTGAAAAACAGTGGGAAACAGTGGATTGTCTGTGCAGTTTAATTCGTCTTCACAAAACTGACATTCCAGCTTAAAATCGCATCTCCCTGCAGTTGCAAACTCATCGCTCGGACAAGTCATATCTGTCGTATCAACTTCACATGGATGTAATCCGGTAGAATCACCTCCAGGAAAGAAGGGATGAATCGAAGAGACGCCATAGTCTTGGATGTAATCCTATAAATAAAAATACATTTGTAGAGATTATCAATACTTTAATTAATCCGTACTTACTGTACTGGATTACAGAATATTCGGTCAAAAAATTTTGCGCTTTATTCGCTTCATAAATGTGATCATATTCATGAAAATATATTTAGTATTCATTCATTGCTAATTAAAAATTTTAAACTTTTAAATATGCATGTACCAAATTCTTCTTAGTTATTTAAATTATTTTCATGTACACGTATTCCCTGTATTCAATGGCTTGAGTCATTCCAGGCAATGTCATGTTTGAGACGTCGCGTCATTTGGTGTATTTTGCATTCAACAATTAGAATTACCAAAAACTTCATTTTTATCAACACGTGTTATCACGCGGAATCATCTTATAGATTGTACTGGTCTCTATTTATATACACGCAGTAAGATGGAATGTGAATAAATGGAAAATATGTAAATATGGAAGATTGGTGATCACGTAGTTACGTTTTACAATATGCAAATTCATAATTTAACAATAAATGACTTTTTTATTTGTAAACATTTCCAAGGTGTAACTTTAGTACATTATTCAACACTTCTGATGATTGAAATTTTCTACGAAAAGTACTTAAAAGTAGCCGTAAAAATGGAGGTTCCAGGGTGCATTCCATTTATTACACTTTTATTGAAAAATTAATTCGTAATTTTTTGCATTTTTGCCAGAAACGATTTGACAACCATTTGGCAACAAATCTCCAATTAGTATTTTGCACTCTTCTTGGAAAGCAGTTTATGTACTGGATTGTGATGACTCGTATGTATTTTGTATATGCTACGAATTTTCATATGGAAATTGTACGGATAAACAAGTTACAAGTTACACTATGGGCATTATATCACTTTAATATTAAGATAGTCAGTAGATAATGCTTTATGATAATTGAATATATTCCAGTCAATCCCACCAGGCAATCAACCATAACACTGTTACTTGTTGTATATACTGCAACTGAAAATTTTATATTTACAAAAACTTTAACATGATCGGCAATTTTACTCTGCTTGAGATTTTGTTGTTTTAAATATTCATCGAAGTCCAAGGTTGCTGCATTGCTATACATGCGAAAAAAACTACAGTTGCAAAAAATATTGTTTAATCAGTCTCTTCCGATAAATGTACAGATGGTAATAATGCAGTTACAAATAGAAGATATGACATTTTGACAATTTTTGCTAACATCCAGAAATGACATGTTAGAAACATGTTAGAGAACATGTTTATCATATGAATATTTCAATTCAAAACGGGATACTATATGTATATATACTATATAGTATATACTATTTATTTTAGTTGGACACTGAGCCAATTTTTTTTTTTTTTCAGCTAGTCATTTCTCGCCCACACGGAGTCAAACAACGTAATGGGCAATCCTCGACCAATCGAAAGTTTCAAAATGGCTTCACTACATATTTTCTGCAAATATCTCTGGCCTTAATCTTCGTTGCTACATATTTCGAGTAGTCGCTTCGATTGAATCTATTTCCCAGCGAAAGTACAAAGCACATCCGAATCAAATAAAATAGTCATCTTTATTCTTGCCGCAGCATCTTTGCATTATACACATAAATATCCACCTGCGCGAAGACATATATATAGCAAGGAAAGATATACTTAGTTTCGCGCAACATCAACTGTTACTGAAAAACAAAATTAGTGTTCTTTTGTACGCTTCGTGTTTCAACGGCGCAATACCGCATTCAAAATATATATTCATATTTGTAGTTCGTTTTTCTTTTGCGTCTGTAGAGTGGGTGTCGTGAGTTCTGGTGAGTCAGAAAAATACTAAATTTTATATCATGACGATACCATTGACAGTGAAAAAATGGCCTATAGCTTATTTAGAAAGAATATAACAAAGAATAAAAATGCTCGGGGTGAGCCCAGACGTTATTTGGATGTTTGCTGTATATTGTTACAGCAACTCAATAAATTTTTGTGCAATATCATTGTTACGCAATCAACACTGAATCCCTACAGGTTTCGGCGTTAGTCCAAAACTCTATCCCACACGTAATTTCTTTTTACCCAGTTGAGACAAATTAGAAGGTATACATTATAAATACTTATAAAACCACACCGAATTTTATTTACAGGAATATTTATCTGATTTATTTGTAGTTCTCTATTTCCCCGTTTTAGTAAGTGATGGTTCTTATTTATTTATCCCATAATGGCTCTTAAACATGATCAGATGCATTTACCCGCCATATTGATTTTTGATGTCACGATAAAGGTTGTTACATCGATTATCCGCTTAGAATAAATTCAAGCTCTTTAACCTGGCCATGGATAAATTACAAAATACAGATAACGCACAAGTTTGATGAATGATTTCAAAGAATTGGCTCAAAAAAGGTTAAATTACAGAAATGATAAAACTCCATTAAGGCGACAGGACACAAGACGGTAATGAAATTTGTAAAAGTAAAATGAGCATAACACGACGTCTCAATATTTTTGAATCGGCTTACTTGAACGGAAAATAAAGCTATATTGTTTTTATGTTCTGAATAAATTTTTAATGTTGTTTGAGAAAGATCCAACATAACCCAACTACGATTTAAATTACTTTATTGATTACGTCGTGACGGTAAATATAACATGGAATGCATTATGTTTCTTTGCGTCATGTTTGAAAATAAATTATATTCCAGATTTTTTTCCTTGCGTTTCCTGTTTACGATTTTGTAAATTGAATTTTGATTTTGAAATTATTATTTTCTAAATCTGCAACAACTTTGTAATAAATAAAAAAGAACAAAGACACAAACAATATCTGATGATGTTTAAAAAAAGCAAAAACACAAACAACATCTGATGAGTTCAAAGATGTTATTTACGTTATTTGCACGGACTTTATCTATGAATTGCTTTGCTAGATTGTTGTTGTTCTTGTAGAATTGTTGTTGTTTATTTGCAACTAATGGATCTATCGATTTTCAATAATTTAAGATTAAAGAAATCTGAAGAAGTTTTATGAGTCATATAGGACACGATATTTCACCAATTTTGCTGCTTTTTATAATTCAAGAGGGACTCTATGCCATGACATCATTTCCGGTCAATTCTTTCAATATTTGGCTGAAACTTCTTGATATTGAAGGAGTCCGTATTAGCCATTAACTTTCATGTCCACATATTTGAGCGTTGCTCTCTCACTTATTTAGAGAAAAGAAAATGAACGTTTCCATATTCCAAGAAATACCCCAAACTGAACTTAATATTAAAATCGACGGGAAAATCATATAACATAAAATTTTGGCATCAGAACTATTAGGTAAACAAATTTGCATTTTGATTTTAAAACCAAATTTGGAATGGATTTTTATTTGAGCAAAGACGTGTTTCAAAAAATTGAACCGTCGGAACTAATTTCGAATGGATTTTGGAAATTATTCAAAAACACTGCTCAAATACTTCACAAAAATATAAGTTACAGTTTCAAACCTGCCTCAGCTCAGAAATGGCATCAGTAAAGAAGCCTGCATACAACTATAACTTAAATTTATCAATTTAAAACCTAATCCATGCCTAATATGTTCACGTTTGGTAAATTACGTGCATCTTTATCATAGCCAACTATTTGAATAGCTTTCCGTAGTCATAAAAGATTTTACATAGTACATAAATTTACAGCCTGATTTTTTCAAAAAAGTAGCTAACTCAAACATACCGTTTCATTAACAAAGCTATCCCCGGACTCAGGATGGTAGACGTAATCCCATAGTGGATCTGGATATTGTGATCTGGCGGCTTCCATCATTGATAGACATAAAATAAATTGACCTGAAAAATAAATCATCAAACAACTAATAAATAAATGTCCCCATAGCAACATTGGCATTGTAACTTTGATAGAAAATTAAATTACATAAAAAACACAGAATGATCATAATATGTTTGTAACTATGAATTTACGCAACAATGAACATCCTAGATTGTATAAAATCGTGTTCGCGCTTTTTTTCATTTCTCCGATTTGATTGCAGATTTTGACAATCAAATCATACTCCTTACAAAATAGACTGGTGTATTTTACGCAACATTGTAGATAAGATAAATGCCTTTATGTATGGGCTACCTTTGACCCTTCTGTTATTGCGCGTTTTGATGATACACTAGCCCAGGTGTCGGCAATCTTTTGTCGCTCGCGGGCCAAGGTTAGAGTTGCAAGTCTTGGCGGGCCACACATATTTTTAGAAAATTAAAAACCTAACAGATGGCCAATGATCCACAATATTTCAACACAGATTGGAAGTTGAAGTTAAGAAGACTACGACAACTCGTGAACTCAACTTAATCGTCTTACTAAGAGAAAAAAAAGTACAATTGACATTTAATGTGAAACTTTTTGTTTCATCACTCTTGATGGCTTTTCGATATCAGGCGGCATGCTGGATGGAGCCAAGATTAAGACATTTTATAAATAGGCATCACTAATTCCGAGTTCTCAGCTTATTCTTCGTAATGTTGATTTTTCGAAAATTTTTGTTTGCACACATATGTACTTCCAAACATCGATGTGAATTTTTTTGCATGGTTTTTCAAATTTGGATAGAGTTATTATTCAAGAAGATACTATTTACAAAAATCAAGCAGTGATACATTTCTCGAATAAAATATGGATTTCATTTTCTCATTGCATTGAATATTTTCTGCGCCATTGGACCCGCTGCACTCAGCATCAACTTTTCTGCGTTTTGTTGCCATAGTTACAATTAATAATTAATGTATAATTACAATCAAATTGTAGGCTCATTAAACAAGTATCTGATCACTGTATTGTTAAGTTATAATATAATTTAGTCTACCGTGTCTCACAATAAATTCTGTTACGTAAAGAATTTAATCGTGAAAAAACAGCCGTTTTGTCGCTGTAATTCAGTGAAGCGTCGCGGGCCGGATTATTTAATCCGCGGGTCGCAGGTTGTCGACCCCTGCATTAGCCTAATGGAATCTAATACTATTAGAGAATGGATATTTTGATAATGTCGTGTACTATTTGTGCCTTACAAAGTGGCGCGAGTGGTACATGTGGGACGTGTGGTACAATTGGTACACGTGACTTTTGAAATACCATTAGCAAATTTTCAAGTATGGAATATCACATTTTATTTACATATTTCAGCTTATAACACCCAATAGAAAACATAAATAATTTAATAACACTCTCCAAAAAGTTCAAAAGCAGTAAAAATATTTTTCCATGTTAATCATGTCATAAAATAGACATTGGGTAAATGATTCAGTTTTGTGACAAAATACATTCATCGCCAATTTTAGGATAATTCTGACTGAATGCATGTTCATGTCTAAAATATGGCCTGTTCCAAATGGCTGATGTATACTCAAAATTATATTAATATTTTCTCCTTTGTAGGAAATAAACAATTTTCATTTGTATTATCTACGGCATATGCTTGATCACCACGCAGTTCCAAAACAAATTTTGATGAATAGATCGACGAAGCATTAATCATGACAATATGACGTCAGAAACAATCGGTTGGAAAGGGAAAACTGCACGCAAAGAAAGCTTATTGCGGTTTACTCAGTGTCACAGCGTATATATTATTGAACTTCGAAGTAAATTTCTCTCAGGCTAATTACAGCATCACATCATAATATCAATTTTGGACTCAAAAAGTACAAAATGAATAAAATTATATAAATAGTATGTTAAATAGAGTATTACACGCAAGTATTTTCAGGTACCATGATTTAAATATTCAAATATATTACATTATCTAACCATATCGCAAAAATAGATGTATTGATTATCTAATGTACTTTCCTGCCAAAACATCGGCAAAGACGCAAATTGAACTTGGTCATAATATGCTCATATCATGATAAAACTACCGTCTTATATCACCACAAACTTGCAAGCCGAGTTGGTAATATTCTGCATTTAGAAAAATGATTTTAAGCAGTCTTAAAAACGTTACCCTACTTTCAACTTTGTTAAATAGGGTTGTTTTTATATGTGTCTGAACAGCCACCTCTACGTTTTCATGACATACTATTTAGTTCATGTGAAATTAAAAGTTAAGCTAATTGAAACGAATTTAGTACTATGTTACAGACGGCAGGACGGTGGTTCCTAATTTAAAGAAACAATAAAAACGTAATAAATACTCACAAAACATCCTCGACTCGTGAATCCTCCAACCTTTACTTGTACATCTATTCCAAGATAAAAGTGGTGACATTCATGATTATGCTATTTCCACTATACAAAATATAATAGAAGCTGCAAGTATAGAAGTTCATTAAAGCAAAATCGTGCTGCAATTTCATCCTACGGCGTTAAATATGCAACTATTCAATCCATAAATACATAAGGCTATATATTATTCTGGACATATAAATAGAACATCGTTCAGCATAAGCAGAATCGTTTAGCTTTGAAAGCACTCAGTAGACGACATGCACAATAATAAGACAGGCTTACTCATTATGTATGAATATTAGTCAACAAACGCCGCGTTTCCCGACTGTGGAATGACCATGATTAGTCTAATTTGGTCCATGACTAATCTTCATCTCGTAAAATGAATAATACAAATTCGGACCATGTTTTTACATTTTATAAAATTGATTGAGTTAATCTTGTTCATGAATGACATACCACGATACCAAGTCGACATGGACAATATGCAACGAGAGGCTGTTATATTTATAGTTTTCCTTACTGAGTTTTAGTATTATAATATAATAATAGTATAGTTTCATCAGGTTTCAGATGATTTGAAAACAATCTCCAAATACTAACATTTTTGTCAAATTCACATTACTTTTCGGTCAATTTCAAGCATTCAAAGGTTATTTAAAATCTACAAGAATGTTCAAAATGCTGATGTGTTTCTTGTTAACGGCGTGACTTGATGCTGGATCGTTTCATACGATGGTTAAGATTTCTAATTCCAGTGTTGCATAATCAAGTGGCCAGTTCAACTATAATAATATCTCTCTCGGATAGGACCGATTCCAAAGCCTCAATAACGATAACGCTAACGATATCAATATTATAAATTTATTCAAATCAATGTTTAATTGTCTTTCTTTATAACATGAAAAAGTAAATTTCTGGCTTGTCATTTGGTTATCGTCCAATCTTTAAATTCTAAACTTCAATGCAAACGATTTTTTACTGTAAGTTTGTGACTTATGAACTAATAATCCATCAACGATTGTCAACTACTATACCATTGATTCGAATATATTTTCTTGGACAACAAAAGCTATTGTCCTGTAAAAATACCCAATTTTTTGAAACACCACAAAAAATGGCCCTATTCAATATAGCCAAAACCGCATTTCCTCTTATAGAAAAAGCAGGGTGAAAAGGTTGTCAGAGAGTGAACACAGCAGGTCGTTAAAAGGTTTTAATGAGAAAATAGGCCTGTTTAGCAAACCTTGCTTTTTATGTTCCTAACCTATATTGGATGTAAACATGCGTATATGTCAATACAGAAACAAATTTTTCGCCATAGTGGATAGGAGACAAACACCTATATCGGCCCAATCTGACCTGGTACCCAACGAGTTGAATATACATCGGGCGGGGTAATTCAATATTAAAAATTTTCAAAACTGCTCATTAACATCAATCACGCCATGATTAAGATTTGTATGAGAAGAAATTCATTCAATATTCTGATTTCAGTTTCGCTTACGTGATCCCAAAGCAGTGACTCATTCATTAGGCAACACAATAAGCAATAATTTCTGTTACCGAATCTTGATTGACACATCCTAAGCCATAATTGTATTTGCCAAACAAACACGCGGTCTCAAATTGTGTCATATTATTTTGTCAATCTTTTAGAAGCATCGTGTATAGTAAGGGCTTCATTAATAGCAAGAGATCAATGCATGGGTATGAGGATGCGAAGTTTAATTTTGGTGAAATATCGCGCCCCGTCAAACTAAAAAAATAAAAATACAAGTGGGTGTGCAAGCTTTCCAGTGACTTTTTCGTCTCTAGGTACTTAAAATTTTGAACGAACGAGTCCATTAAATGCTGACACCTGACAAGGACAATTTTTATAACCTAACAACAACAATCTAGCACAACAATCCACGGGTCCATTTCGTGTCCAATGAGATGGAAATATTCTCTTTTTTTTTCTAGTATAAATGATACTTATATTCGTATTATTGGTAAAATTTGGTCGTAATCGTCTGCAGTAAGCAACCCAATTACCTACAAACTCAATTAGCATGTTTTTACCTAAATAAATACGCAGTCTATAACGGTGACAAAATGGTTACCGAAATCTAGTTCCTAAACTGCAATTACGTTAAATCTGGTTTCCAATATACATACCTAACGACCGTAGCTGATGTTCTACTAAATGTCTGTCAATCGGTTATTATTGGATGTTAAATCTATCTGCAATCGAATCTTGTCTTTCAATCACGGTAACAACGTGGTAACATTCTGACCTCGAATTTAAGATATGCGACCTATAATGAGACAGTTTGTCTGCAGTAGCTATAATTATTCTTCACTTTACTTTTCAAAAGAACATACTCATTTGTTTGCCACGCGGACTCAAATTGTTCTATGTTCTAAACATCGGGTTCGTCCATGTTTATGGTTTTTCTAAAAGTTAAATTATCACATTCCATCAAACAGTTCCACAAGATGCACTCCAATCACCCAGACTTTGGTCACAATAAATAGTAGGTTACACTACATGTTCGTATGTGTTATCGTCGACTACTTATTCTTAATTACTTTACATGCATTTGGTTAAAATTGCTATTTGTTGCAATCGCTTTAAATAATCTAACAGCTGATCACCCAGCGCCAAGACACAAACTATAGATTAATGTTTCTTAATTAATTCAACTAAATATTTGTGAAGCCCTTCTCTATATCTCAACTTATAATATAGCTCTGAACAACGAAAAAAATATTTGGAAAGAACGTAACTATTTTCAGAATACGACCCTTTACAAATAACCATTTTAGAGTCGATCTTAAAAAATCTCTAATAGGCGCCATAAACGAGACAAGGCACTGATTTTAACATAAGTACAATTGTGTCAACTTTTATCACTGTGTGAGAAGGTTTAAATTTAGATTTAGGAAATTTCATTCAAATCCTACAATCCCCGCAAAAAAAGATACTTTTACTCACAGTAATTTTCCTTATCAACGATAAACAATTGGTAGCAATCCATTATATATTTATCATGCAGTGGCCTCACCGCATGTCATAATTTATCTTAATAACCACATCTCGAAAAACATTGAATTTGCGTTAAGTGCGTCGTGAAAAGCAATCTTTAAACGCTTTTAAGTGTAGATGGATTAAAAAATGGGTTACGTGTTTTTAACGAAAACTCAGCATACGTCAGGATTCCAATGAAACATTTTTTTACTCTGGATCATCCATTTTGCCATTTAGAGTATCATCCCAATCAGTCTCAATATTTTGTTGTTGTAGGCCAAAAAAAGGCCGGCAATCTACAAATTATGATTAGTATAAATACGATTAACCTTATTGCACTAGGTAATTCTATCCGCTCTGTTATTAATAAGAAAATTTACTTGTTTATTCGCCCGACTCCCACCTTGCCAAGTCAAAGCTCCAGTTCAAACTTGCGCCAAACAGTCAATCTACAATTAGACTCACACCGAAAATGACAGGTCAGATCATTTCGCAGCCCCGAATAGGGTCATTCAAATCTTGAAGTAAGTCAAATTGCCCGCCGTCATACTCGGCACGTAAGATGTCAAACAGAAGTGTTTATACGAGTTATACAATATAGGTAAATTGTGCTTTCTAGACGTGCTATATTATTGTATCATATTCAGTAGAGCTAAACTGCACAAATTTCTACAGGCTACTAACAGACCACCTAGTCCTAGATGTTCATTCAAGCATACGTGATTATCGTGGGACAATTTTTGTCTAAACTGAATTTTGAAACGTTCATGCCAAATACACAAAACCGACGCTTTTTGAGGTGAGATTATTATCAATACTTTTTGACTTCTGTAGATCACGAATTGGAAAGGAAACATTATATTGAAACAAACAAACAATATTCTTCATTTCTTACCAGACATGCCGACGTACATTCTAGGCGCATATCCTAAAGCAAGGGTCGGCAACCTTTTGTCGCTCGCGGGCCAAAATTAAGGTTGCAAGTCATTGTCGGGCCGCACATATCTTTAGAAAGTTGAAAAACCGAACGGATGGTGCTTTTTATAATAAAAATCAAGCAGTGATACATCTCGAGAATAGAATATAGATTTATTTCCTCATTGCATCTCATAAAATTCTATTTGAATATTTTCAGCGCCATTGAACCCTTTGCACTTAGCATCAACTTTTCTGCGTTTGTTGTCATTTGTTTAATTAAAATTAAATTATATGCTCATTAAACGAGTAATTGCGAATTATATAATTGTTAGGTTATAATATAATTTAGTCTGAAGAATATATTCGTCAAAATGGATGTTTTGGTACTATAATTTAGTGAAGCGCCGCGGGCCGGATAATAGTGCTCCGCGGGCCGTAGGTTGCCGATTCCTGTCCTAAGGAAAGACCACGAATTCTCGCCGAGAAAAGTAAGCATCACTGATAGGAGAGTTTCCAAATTGCCAAATTTATCACCAAATGCTATATATCAACATCGTCCAAGCATATAATCAATCTCGTGAAAGAGGAAGCCAAACCCGAGGTCAAAGCTTACGAAAATCTCCTTCAAATCAAGAAATTTCACACAATATAATCCTAGTATAATGCATACTATTTTCGAGAAAATCTTACGTGTCAAGTAGATTCGACAAATTATTACATTAAAATACAAATCAACAATAACAAGTTCCCACAAATATCTTGTCTGTACAGCCGTACAATTTTATTGCCGCATACTGTAAACGTCCATGTGTTTGTTTTAACCAATACAAACATTAAGATTTTAATTTACTTCTCCCTCTTCTTTTGTTGAAAACAAATGTCATAAACGCTGTCTGCCTATAATATAAAAACCAATGGTCGGTTTAGAAAGCCTATCGGAATGTTTATACTACACTCCCCATTCGAAAGAACCAGAAGCAATAACAACATGACTCTTGAGACATGACTTATCTTAACACTCCACAGACCACATCCTTGACTAACTCGAAACGGGATACTTGAGCAGGATACTTATAGTTCGCTTCAAATAAATACTTAGAACATTCGCTTTCTTTTTATAGCACGGAATTCTCAAATAGCCATGATTGCAATGGTACTCGTATAGGAAGGTTTACTTGATGTACCTTCTACAGTTCTAACAATGATCGATTTTGGTAAATATTTGTACTTTTAGGACGATCACGTTCGCCGAAAAGAACATATTGATCCCACAATTTAGTCTGGAATTATACTGTACAGTACTGACCAATACCTTCTCAAATATTGGTATTTGCTACTGATGAATCCTAGACTTATTTCAAGTTGTGTCGTGCGAGTAGACAGATCATTAATTAAAATTTTTCTACTATGACAGAAGTTGAACTTGAAAATATGATTATGCAACATTGGTTTGTTTTTTTTATATTGGAAACGCTCACAATTATACTATTAAACTTGCGACTTCCTACATCTTTAAATACTAAAAATTGAAATCGATTAGTCAATTAGTTACGGTGTAAACAAAACAACAAACCCAAACATCTCAATAACAACAACAACTATAACAACATTTCGGAAGACGATTCATAGGTTTACCTCATGTCCAATGACAGTCGAATGACGCAGCTTTACAACTCGCTCCAAATATACTCTCTATGACGCCCTGTTTTTGAATAATATGACTCTATAACCTTATAAAATATGCAAAATACCTCGATTTCAGAGAGATATGACAATTTATCTCGCTCTTTCTGACGCTCGTTTAACTTTCTGCTAATGTTACTCAGGGTCCAGTCTGTCAATTGATCGAAGTGAATTTTTACACTATTACATATATGTTTATACGCTTTTTCAGTTTTTGTCTCTGAGCTGTATTCACGTATTTTCAAATTTATATTTCATGGATTTACGTTCGTGACACCTGTAGCGTCGTCTTACCGCATTTAGAGATATTTTAATCACGGTTTATTAAATATTATTTTTGCTTAAAACGATAGCGGATAATCCCGATAATGTCCTGCGAAGAGTTAACCAATGGCAAAAAACAACTTTAATAAATAAAAAATCTGTAAATTTGTAGAACTCATCGGTAACCTCGTTGTCTACAATAAAATAATCGACAATCAAAGATTTTAAACTGGACTCGGATTTGCATTTGAACCACAAATTACAAAGCTTGAAAGATCGCCTGATTGCTAATTTTTTTTTATTTGAAACTATTGATTAATTCAAAAGTTTGAATTAACCAAATTTGACAGCGTGCGAATTTGTGTTTTCTCAAAAATGTCGGCTTCGAGAGAATTTTGTAACAGGCTTGTTTGCTCATTCAATCTCAATTCAAACCCGACTAGAAATTTCGATCATCTTATAAAATATAAGATACCATAATTTACAAATTGAAAATGTGCAATACATTAACCACAACAAATTCATAACAATTCGTATGGCATTGAAGGACCAATGTCAATTAAAAGGACCTTCACACATCAACGCAATGTACAATGTATATTATCTCAACACGGAAGCTGAACTGCTCGATTCCGACATATAGCAAACTATACATCTCATTGACTTACTAGAATATCTTTAACCAGGATTTTAAAAATATTGTCATTTTCAAAATGCTATCTAGTTGTCTATCTCCAATACTTAGTTACCTGTGCGGTTGCTAGTAAACATCTGACAACAAACCACCACATGCACTGGCTGAGCTACCTCTCTGGTAGAGGATTTATAAATAGAGCTGCGAGGCTAAACTAAAGGGCTAGACGACAGATGCGTCCGCCACATAAGAGACTGATAAGCGCGAGAATTGTGCCAGTACCAGATATTATAAGAATCCCCTTGTGGTTTACGATCGTAGTTCTCTCGCAAGTAAAAAAGTAACAAACAATGGAATCATTTGCTTATTGCAAATTGTACTTTGTTTTTTTTTGACTAAAGGATGTGTAAAATATGTTAAGAATGAGATGATGATTGTTTCAACATCAAACATTTTCCAACGGATGGAATTCAACATGTAATTTTATGCATACCTAATAAAGCTTCCATAAAGTGAAATCTAATATGAAACGTATGCGGAAATCCATAATCTGATCAGAGCTTTCACAGCTTCGTAATCTCGCATACTCCCTATTGTAATATCCGATTCCCGGTAAATTTGTGCAATACTGGATTTGATAAGAAGACAGCTGAGATTGAATATACAGCAATCTGGTCTACCTGAACTGTCTTTATAGAAAAGGTGCCGAAAACATTAATTTACTAAAAATTATAAAATTTATTCATTTATTGTTTTAAGGGTTCCTCAAAAATTCTACACAAATGACGTTTTGGACTCAGTAACTGTCAGCTTTGATAATATCATGTTGTAACAAATGATATAAAGACATTTGCAAGTTGTCAATTATGATCTGAACTCTTAGCACATTTCGCAGGATTCCAATTATATCCAATTATATATAAAATTTATTCATTTATTATTTAAGGGTTCCTCAAAAATTCTACACAAATAACGTTTTGGACTCAGTAACTGTCAGCTTTGATAATATCATGTTGTAACAAATGATATAAAGACATTTGCAAGTTGTCAATTATGATCTGAACTCTTAGCACATTTCGCAGAATTCCAATTATGTCTAAATATTAAGAAAAGTTCTGATACATTCTTCAACTAGGTGCATTGGGGGCTTTCAACCAAACAAGCAGATCGTACCGAAGTATTATTAACCGGTAACTAACTGATATAATGTACATTACAACAAATGTTTTAAGTGTGATATTTGACATTTCAAACCGCTTTTAATAAGAGATAAACACTGAACAAACCTACATGATGCATGTAACTACTGCCTATGTAATTATTTTTGAAATGTATTGCAGAATACGAAGCGCGTTGCAAAATTTTGAACAATTTGGACGATGTGTTTAAACATGCTAAAAAATCAGAAAGTATTGCGAATTTCAACGGCATTTTGACATAATTCCACTAATTTTTGAACAAATAAAACCTAGTAGAATTACCATGCATAACGAAGCAACATGTTTTCCACTTATCATGCTAAGACGCTATAGTTTTCTCAAATTTCTGCCACCATTGTATACGTGCTTGAATATGATAGTCGTGCTTGCTTTTCATTCTTAATGTTGAATATGTGTTACATAATGTTCATAATGTTTTGAGCTTGACTCAAAATAAATTACTTCGGCTTTATTCTATTTTCGCCATGCCGCCCAGATGTATGAAGTTCAAGTCGGTTTCATTTTTAGTAATTCTTAGATAGGGAGATCAATATTTGGAATACAGGCGAACCATTTCGTAATTCATGCGCTGTGTCAGGTTGCCATTATTCACTATCGCTATTAGACGCTTATTCTTTTTTAATTATTTTGTAATACTTTTTTTATTATTCAAATCGAAAACAATTTATCTGTCATGGATCTGAAGAAACGCAAGGGCCGTCATCTTGAAAATGTCTTGTCTTTCCTGTTAACGTAAAAATGAGTCTATTATAAAATAGTTTGCTGATAATATCGTTCCTACAATATTTAAAAACTTATAGGTATGATATAACTTAAGTAAGCTCTGAAAGACTAAAGTATGACCTTAGTAATAAAATATTCTCATAAAATATCATTAATGAAATATAAGTAATATATATGATATCTTTAAATATTTACTTATTTGTGAAAAAGAATCGCGGCTTATTAAAAACAGAAGATGCGAAGACATTAATTTGCAAACGAAGCAGTACGGATGTGACGTATATTCATTAAATTTTAGTATATAATGTTTTACCGTCAATAAGGCGCACTGTAAATCCAGGTAGTGCTTTATGCTTTATTGCATACACTCATCAAAACCAGTATGAGTACCGGTGGCGTCTTATAGTACGGTGCGCCTTATGTGTGGACAGAATCCCAATCTGAGCAATTGGCGGCAATTTATTGGCGGTGCATATTATAACCGTGTACGCCCTATGGTCGATAAAAAACGGTAATTTATATTTTATATCAGGCTACTGCAGTTGTCTCGCATGTCTTTGCAAACGCGCCCTTCGCGTGGAATATGGGCCGTAGCGTATACACCACATTTCGGTACCGTTAAAATACTAAAATCTAATATATTAATCTATCGGCAAGTGTAGGAAAAATACCCTTCATTAGTATGTTTATGATGCTACGTTTGTTTAGCATAAATAACCTGCAGGTTTTCTTGTAATTTTTCCATTGTGTGGTAGAATCGGAATAATGTATCTCGGGGCCAGGCGGTCTCGCTAGAAAGTTGGTGGATTTTGTCCAGATGGCATTGCACCAAGCTGTCCCATTGAGCGTTATATATTGCTTCTTCTGACTCGGGTGCCAATGCCATGGCACTGAAAATTTCCTTTGACATGCAATAAAAAGTACAAATATCACTGGTTATGGTGAAAATTTGAAGTTAAATCGTTTGGAATATTAAGTGACAGTTGCTTTTTTATTGATCATGCAATAAGAGTTTTCTATTTAGCTTTGCCTGAATATTAGAACAATTTTTGCGGGAAGCCCAAAGACTTTTCAATTTCTTTTGTCAGTGCGTGGGTATAAATACATCAATGGTTTAGAGTTCTCAAGCTCAAGTACTATCGTCAAAAGCTCATTCCATGTCTTATACATTGCTGTTGATAAATATTTAAAACATATGAATACTAGTTATGCCCAACCTCCATAGTCGTGATAGTATTGACCGACATTTGCGACATGACAGACAATACTGATCGTTTCTTGATAAGAGCTGAGGCAAGTTTGTCGTCGTCTCCCACACTGGAATCAAGACTTCGAACAGATGGTGTTTTATTCTGTCCCGGCACCGCAAGCAATTGTACTCCTTCCTTGGTGGATCAAAAAAGCATAAACAAACATGATAGCAATAACTCAATCAATTAAAAAATGATGTCTGTAAAGGGAATTTTGCTTGAAATATAGGAAAGAAGTCGAAATAGGTTTTTTTTTCGAAAGAAAAAGTTCAATAAACAACAAGAAAATTAATTTAGTCAAAAATTGCTATCTGAACTGCCCATGTAAACAAATCGAAGTTATGTTATATTAAATAGGATTATGAACCGTATCAGGTTCCTGTCTAGGAAACTCTGATTTTTAGTTTTCCTTTCGTGCAACTTTTAGCCACATTGGCTTTTCTGACATCATTATGTATTCTATACTGTAGCTATTATTCATTCACAGTACTAGTGTTTACTCGTTTATAACTCTTCTCTCACTATTATCATTTATTTGCTTTTAACTGTCTCTCGATCTTGCTCGGAGCAAAATACACAAATTTTTGACGATTAAAAAAATGATAGAGGTTACCTCTCGAATGGATTCTGCACTTTTTGCTTGAGATGAAACGTTACTTTTCAAAGAATCTGTCAAGAAAATTTGTATAAATTGTATACTTCTCATAATTTAAATATTTGTTATAGTCTGTGACCAGCATCAACTAACACAAATGCGTTCAATCTTGATAATTCGGGTCGGTTCGGCGCTTGAGCCTAAACAAATGATCTTTCCAAAATCAGAAGCACCGTGACTCAGAGTAGTATTAATTAAATGCAAAATTGTGATAAAATAGGAATCCGTTTTATAAATGTTACAAATGATGTTATAAATGAATTTGATGATCATCCAAAGGCTGGATTTTTCTAGGCAACGTCACTACGTTATTCAGGCAGATTCCGATGCGTCAAATTTTGCGATTTCATTCTCGGTAAGTATGGAACATGATGTTTACAAACTAGGAGCATAATGTGTTGGACTGATACCATCTGCTACGGGTGGTCTTGGCATTCGTTTTACAAAAATAGATTTAGTATTCAAGCATGAACGGATGGTACTTGTTCCAATTTTATGCGAAAATGGATACGTTTTATCTTCATCTGAAATATATTTTAGTCTTTTATCGTTGACAAGACTTCCGCACTACGAATCCCATGTGATTTGAATAATGAAAGTCGAACACATTCCAGATAAAGATAATCACTTTGTGAATTGTCCAAATTATATTTTAAGGAGGATTATGACCGTTTGAACACCATTATTAATATATTATATTGGTCATTTAGGCAACAGAGTGAATAATTTGTTCAAAGCATAACTGTAATGTCTGCCTTATAGTCTGAATCTAGCCATTGAATACTAATCAAACCAACGATAAATAAATTGATGAGTTCTTTGAAATTAACAGACATGATACTTAAAAACGGACCGTTGGATATTTCATTAACTGTGGAATTATTTGATTTGATTGAAAATAAATCACTCATATATAAATACGTTGTGTTAATCGCTGCTGACTGCTCGTTAATCATAAATAGAAGGCGGAGTAGTTGGGCAAACTATATCCCCATTTTCTTTCAATGATGTACGAAACAAGAATTAGTGAGCAACTTTATTTAAAGAAATTGGTAAAGTAAGCTTGACGTACTAATTTAAATTCATTTTTGGTAGTATTCCAGAAAGGTAAATGTTACGGAAACTGGCAAAACCAATTGAACGCCACGAAATTTATTCCTGATAATGCTTCGGAAATTGGATTGCACAGTCCGACGCCTGTTGGCCCGGTATTCTCTTATTAACCTTCATAAACGTGGATTGACATAAACTGAATGAGTAATGTTAAGCTGATAAGTTGAGAAAGGTCATTATGAATTCTCGGCATCACACAGTGTGGTATTATATTCAGATTAAACTCTGCGACCCAGATAATGCAGGCGCCAAATCGATGGTGGGTCTTTCGGACATTTTATTTTCAGCCTGTTGACAGCTAAGTCGTATGATATGAATAGGATTCGGCCACTCAACAAAATTTATGTTATAGAGTGAACTATTCATTAAACATATAATGTTAAAGTGTGATGTATTTTCATTTTGAGCACGGAGAGTGCCACAAAAACACTTCCTGCCAATCAGTAAAAGAAGCAAATTTAATAAAATGGCGTACGTGTCAAAATTACTCGAAAATGAAGTATCCCTCTGCGCGGAGTATCTCTGATGACAATAATAACTAAGGGCAAACTGGCATAGAAAAATAATGCAAGTTCGATGGTTTACAGTGTCAATATTGCATCGCTGACAAATTCACAATCAATAAAACACCATGACCACACAAAACAATATTTTTGTGATGTCGATTGCCCTTTCTCTTTTGGTGAAACCCTAAAATCAACATGACTAAGCAAAACACCAAACCTGGGTTATCTTGGGTTGAACCAACAGCAACATTTGTTTCTGATTGGTTTTCTTGGTTTGCAAGGCCTTCTGTAAATTCTTTCTTGAACTTATCGACCTTGAAAAAAGTTTGCATGATGGAAAATGATACATCCAAAATCTATATTATATTTCAAATTATGTTCTCACAATCCCAAAAACTGCGAAAAAAATGAATATTTTAAGATAGTCGCCGTGAAAGAAATTTTGTCATATTTTGGCTATTTTAATCAGTCATGGTGTGTTTATCAAGTAAACAGTGGTTTTCAATTAAAATGCGCTACCACCATTGTTTATAGAGAAACTCTACTCAACTGCTATTCTAATATGAGTTGCATAATAACAAGAGTTTTTGTATCTCGGAGATCTCAACTGCATATACACCAATATGTATATCAAATACTATACCCTTCAATGTTAATGCGAATTGCCATGTCATATTTTGACGTCAAATATCACGCTACTTTGATTTGTCAACTCCCATGGGATAATGAAGGTGATAACAAAATTGCATTACACAAAGCCAATATGTTGACTTAGGTCATTTGCGTATGAAAAGTATTTAAAGACGCAACACACGTATGATAAACATGTTGATTAAATATCTGAACATTTTACGGACTCTATTAGACATCTACAGCACGTTGTGGTTTATTTGTGCTTTCGGAAGATAAAAATAAAAACCACATAAGATGAACAACAAAGAACATTCTCCGTTGCAAGAGACAAGCTTTGCAAAAAGGGAACTTTGCAAGATAGTAATTTTGCATGAATGAACTTTTGGATAATGTGATTTTGCAAAAACTTACTTTACGCCAGTTATGTATGTTTTCGAGAACTGACTTTTGTGGAAACGTAGTTGTAAGAATGATATTTTGTATTTAAACGTCTGAAATTTTATCTATCTTTCCACGAGAATCGTTTTTAAAAAAATAAACAAATGCCAAAATCACTAAACCCTTTTAGGTACCTAATCTATCGTACGTAAATGGATGAAAACAAATCATACGTGAACAAAACTATAGGCCAAAACATATATGTCTATATCATTGTCAAACCAATCAACGTAGGTGTTTTTGTCGATAGATGGTAATTTTTTTTCAAATTTTTCAGAAAACTTGGGAGAATTGCAGAAGTCGAAATTAAGCGTTATATGTTAAATGCCCTTGATAAAATCACCGGAGTGTGATTGAAATTACCTATGATATTCGCTCAACGTGTTAGTCGCAACCCGTTTGGTCGATTGAAAATTCCCTTGGGTCGCTTGTTTTTTTTTAAATCATAAAAGTTATTAATATTGTTTATTTTCTATTCAATATTGAACATTGTCTATCCAATTTATAACACTCTGTCAGTTAAATCAAACGCTTCAATCACTAGGTTTGCTATCTGTGAAAAATAATAGAAATACCTTTGTCGCTATGGTCCAAATAAAATCAGTTTCTATTCAAGGAAAACTCAGGGAAAATTTTTTCATAAATTTTTTGTAGTCAAACGCACTAGTGAATTTTTTTTGTAACCCAAGCTAAGTGACCTTGGCTGAGCAGAACTCCAAATTGAATGTCATCTGATAAATTTAGTGAACTTAGTCACCGCAATGACACATACAACCGTTGGCGTCGATACACAAGCTTCCATCAGGAAACCTTTGATTCTACTTATCTAATTATTGATTATGTCATTTGCAGATTCGGTGGATAAGATCACGTCATTTTTGTAAGAAAATTGGCGGAATTTTATTCAGATGCAAAGGACAAATTCAGTTCTTTTAATACATTTATGAATATGTGTGTATAAAATGTGGCAACTGTGAGGAATATGGAAGTAGAGATACCTGAAACAGAAGTAAAAACGAATCTGACGCAGTTGAATCATTACGTCACCATTCCGGTTGAATCATGTACAAACAAGAAAACACAATTTGCGTTTAACACGAGATGAGTGATTTTACTTTGGTTTAAACAACGTCGCCGATTTTGTTGTCCTTTGAAAACCATAATGCTTTACTGAAAGACGGAGTTATCGCCGCTTTTACCTTTGGGAATTTGTTGATTTCGAAGCATGGGTGAATAGTCTGGATTGGAAGTTGTCCAGTTCTATTTCATCAAGTGAGCTCCCAAGCGATTTGAGGATCATGATGTACTAATTGCGTATCGCGTTCATCAATTGGGATATGAAGCGTTAATATGCAAACATTTTAGGTGGTTTTGCACAACGATGATTAATCATTGGCCATATGTACAAAGACGATAATCGTCAAACGTGAAAAATTTTATGAAACACATTTGGCCAACTAAAATCAGCAGAAAAGTTATAGACATCAAGTGATATCCTCTGACGAATGCAATTAACAAGTGTCTAATTCGATTCTTATTAACAGTCTGCATAAATATATCCTTGGGTTGATTTTTAATTACACTAAGTCTATTACATTTGTGGTAGGTTATTTGATTGAGCGATCCTATAGGTCGCGTTGAGGTGAGAAAATACGTCAGTAGCGGATTCTCCCGAACTTTGAAGTTAGACTCAAAACAACTTGATAATTATGATTGATTTTTGTAATACTTTTTAGAAAAAATAAAATTACTCTCGTTCACTCTTTTCTGAAATATTTGAAAAATAAAAGATAAATTCGATAATGTTCGTTTTAAAAACAGTGTCACGAATTTTTTTCGACACAATTAAATCTATTCCGGAATTATGCAAATTATATAATATCAAATTTTTCAACGGCCGATTATTTGTTCCTAAAACTTTCACGTGAATTGAGAGTGGGCACTAACTTGACCTGTATCAAATATGAATTAGGATCAAATTATTTAAAAGAATTGCACTATCGGCCAACTGGATCATATGACGAAAAAACATAAAAGCGGAATACATATAAAGCGATATACGTGGCAAGATTGATAGCTCGTTTTAAGTTTAATCGCATTTTGGGCCAGCAAGCAATTAATTGTCACTGTTAATTTTAATTTTCAAAACAAGAGAGCAATGCTCAAATATATGGACACGAAAGCCAGAACAAAGTAGTACGGGTAATTAATCCTTTACAGTGGACTACGGATACCGCATTCGTCATGACTTCGCCTGACCACCAGTTAGCAACGCGAATGCTTAACCGCCAAAAGAGGCGTAATTTTTAATTTCGATGTACACAAAGAAGGAATGCCATAGAATTTCGATTTCTTCATAACAACAAGAACAAGAATAAAAAGAATTCCAATACGACAACAACATAATACCAAAACGATATATATATACGTCCACTTCGAGTCAAATAATTAATCAGAATGAGCAAATCCGTCACCAGTGAAATTTGTAAAAGCAAACCTTGGGTTTCCGCAAGATGAGACATGTTATTCGATCACTCATCGGCGCAACCTAGAGTCTAAAATACCTCATTTTTGGCTTCTCTTTCCTTTTGCTCCCAGTGAAGGTCATTTCTAATTGTTTGAAAATTGTTAACCATTATTCCCGCAAAGATATTTTTGAAGACGAAAGAGCCAACCCAAATCCATGCCAGAATATACATCACTGTCATAGTTGACTCGTAAGGGTCTTTCATGACGATCAACAAGTCCTAAAATTAGAGAATCGATTCCGATTTCAATCTTGGTTTTCTTGGCAGACATGGAAAGCCTAAAATCTCATTCATTTCGTTTAATGTTATTTGACATCCTTGGTAGAAATGTGTCATTGACTCGGTTCGAAATCTGACTTGGCTATCCACCGCTATAGAAACTTAAGAATCGTGAATAATTTTAAAAAAGTCTTTGCAAAAAAAAAAAAAATTCCTGATTCATTACGATTTTCTTCTTTAATTAACGCTGCATTGCAAAACCCGACCACTCACTAATTTGTTGCAGCAAAGAATTGAAATAGGCCATGTTGATGTCAATATTAAATAATGCCAAAATTAAGGAATAAATTCCAGGTATTTTTCGTAAGAGTACGGATTCAATACAAAACAAAAATTGTCTTCTAAGTGCCATGTGCCTATAGCGTCTGGCTATTTATCTATTTCACTGTAGATAATAAAATCTTCTCGAATTGTGGATCGTTTTGAATTTACCTTCGGGGTTAATGCCCTTGATTGATTGTATTTTGCTGTCATGAGAATAAATTAGAATTAAAAATATGGACATATTTACCACCAGTGTCTCCAACCAGTGATCCAATGTCATCAATTGAAACAAAGTAGCAAAAGCCCACAATGTATCTGAAAACGCCGTTTGATACTTCAATTGAATTCCTACAGCCCTTCCGTCAAAGTCTGTATATCTGAATGAATAAAATTTGTTTTGTAAAATTTGTATGATTTTGCCATGCACACTATATATATAAAAAAGTAAATCAGTTACCAACCTGTCGAATAGAACTTCACCCATTATTGCAAACATCCACATAAACAGTCCAAGAAGGAGAAGAATAAATGACATTGCACTGAAAGCTTTTGTCACTGCCATTAAGATAATTCTAGCTTGTTCGAATCTGGATACCTGAAATGGACTTAATTTTTATTTGAAGATGAAGCTAGTATAAACCCTATGGATTAACTTCAGTTAGATTCCAATTATAATGTCGTGTTGCAGTGAACATTTACATATTGACGTTGCCTTCGGATAAGAACTTTTTGCTCAATATTTCAATACTAAACATCGTTATTGAGCCTTCGTTGCAGACTCAGATGGTGTTTGTCCGATTTCAATCACACATAAATTTCGTATTGGGACTTTCAACTCTTCCACAAATTTCGGATATGTGGATACAATGAACTCACCATTTTTAAAAGTCTTGTTATTCTCAGCACTCGCAAAAATCCCAGGGCCGCCATTACTCCTCCGCTTCCAGCATCAGCATTGATCCATCGAATCACCTAAATATCAATTGTCTAATGGTGGAAATACAAAAAAGGGCAGATTTTCACAATGATCCACTTTTAAATCAATGTAATTTTTTTTTGATATTTATCCAATTTTTGTCATTGTTTGTCTTAGTTTCTTATGTTGAGAGATGAACGAATACATGTATCAATTTTGAATGTAACAAAAATTGTAAAATTCGCGTCGATTCCAGTGATTGAAGCACCATTTCTTAAAAATATCCCATAACGATCATTCAGTTTAATCGCTATTGTGTACCAGTAAGAAGTTATCTTACCTCTGGAAGAATTGATACAACCGTGATGTAGAAATCCAACTCATTCCATCCATTGGTCCAAAATGATTTGAAGTCATCAACCCATTTTAATAAAATTTCTACAATGAATATCCACAAGCAACAATAGTCACAAGTTCTTATTATTCTTATCCATGGCTAAACATGAGAATAGAAACATTCAGAAAAAAAAATAAAAATAATTTCGAATGCCTGCTTTGTACCGGAAGTTTTGTGAAGGAAGTCGAAGGATATAAATTTTGAGTTTTGGACCATCATAAGTGTGAATATAGATTGGTAAATTTTCCATTTGGGATAGTCATGGTCTTGGTCATGCACCGTTAAGTTTATTTCTGGGGCAGAACAAAAAATATTAACAAATTTACGTGGAAAAAATGAACACACAGCTTTACTGGGGGAAACACACCGCGTGGAATCAATCTTCCATATCAAGCAGCGACCCCCAAAGTTCTAATATCTAATTCCTATTCAAAATATCAGATGTTTTAGGTATTCGATTACCGCAATTATTGGGGAGTGTGGCATTTGCTAGATTGTCGACCAACAACGCCCACTAGCGGATATTAAAAAGCCTTTGCGTCCACCATATAACTCGAGCTGTCGCCGCGTGGCGTGTGAAACAAGTCTTTCACTCAGATAAGGGATTTTGTTTATTGTCTCGTATATGTTGCTGTAATCATGTTGCTGCTAATTTGGGAAGTTGACCATTCTATACCTACGCTATAGTTACCTAGAGTGAATACTAATATGTATCACATACTTTGTCCACTTTACGAAAAACGTATCAAGCTGTTCAATAATAACAATAATTAGGCTTACGTGATTTGCTGGTACTGTTGTATCAGTGATCTCGGCATCGAGTACAAGAAGAATGGCATTGAATATGATTAAAATCAACATAAAGTTTTGAAACCAGTTACTTTCCACGACCCAGTTGGCCCACAGGTCCAATGGCGGATATTTGGTTTCACGACATTTTATTCGCTTCCATCTTCTATCCTGTTTGGACACTGAACCCTAGAATAAGATTTGTACAATAAAAGTACAATAGGCAATTCAAAATAATCAATAATTACAAAGGAGCTCTTACATTACAATTTGTGTCAAACTGTTATTGATATGTACTACTCCTGCCTACTCATTTTTTAAATTTATGCTGCATTGCTGAAATACCCGATTATCACAGATTGCAAATTCGATTGCGCTACATTTATTTGAAACAAGAGAAGTAGTACGGGTATGCAATCTGTCACAATAGAGTCAATAAACTACCGCCACAAGGTGCAATTTTTAATTTTGTCTAAGTCATTGCACAAAAAAAACGAGTCTCTGAGAGTCCACAGAAAGTACAGCCTCCTAATACAGTATACTTTTACGTCTAGTACAACCTTCTTCTTAAAAAAATACAACCACTTGAAATTTGAAAGAAATTGGCTCAGAAGTTAATGAGAAGGGCGATTTTTCAATAACTCTTCAAATAATTTTTCAATAGATTTCTTATGAAGGCGAACTGGCAAAAGTACCGTTACGAACAGCGATTTAACTTTTAATATAGGTCACCAACATTAACACTTTGATCGATCACATTACCTGAGATTTCTGTATCGGGCTGAACTTGACTAGTGCATATGGATTTTCTGTTAATATTTTATTTCTTTTCCTTGCATCTTGTATATCAGCGGGATGATATTTTGGCGCTTCTAGTCCTTGTTCCATCTCATTCAAGTTTTCGAGAAGACGAAAATCACGAATGAGTCGCATTCGGAATCTTATAATAAAAAAAGGCTTCTGTATATTTAATAACTATATGTAACAAACAGTAGAATGATTTATATTAAGTATTCTTACGCAAAAAGTTATCTATTATATTTTGGGAATAAGGTTGATCGCTGACTCGCTTTTTTGAAGATAAACCCGTCTCGAACCTTGGAAATTATTTATTTAAAAATGATACAATTAACTCAAATTTCGTGTGAAACAATGCCATTATAAAGTTTCATCATCTGTCATAATATTATTGTCAGTGAGCTTCCTATGAATAAAATAATCTATTTCTTATATCGTCGAACTATCCCCTGTCATCCTAATCTCAGTAAATGGGCTTTCTAAATTGCCTATTTTTACTTGAGCATTTGCAAGGAGTCAACACACATCTATTTAAACTAAACGTCTTCTAATACTTTGACAATACATAGTAATTTGGTGCTTCAGTGGTCATTGAGCATAAATTGAATTTTTCCTCTAATCTGCATATGTTTTGATGTAAGTTGTCAAGTTCAATCAAATATTTTATAAAAAAAATCTATACCTTTCTGCTTGAGGAGTCAGTACTTCTGTAGATGCGTTCTCTTGCTTAGAGGATCTCTTTCCTTTACCCCAAATCTGTGAAAATTAACTTTAAGTAATATCGGAGGCGTCTCCGAACGTCATTTTGATTTCCACGCTCATTTTGAGTTATAAATTCCATTCCCACACTTGTTTTAAGGTAAACAATCATGATACTTTAAATTTGTTGTTTACATCAAAGTAAATTTACTTCGTTGAGCCTAAAAGATTCACTCAGGTTCCAGTTGTCCGGTCAAAAATAGCGAAAATTTGAAGGCAAAAACTTTGGTGTTGGTGATATTTTTAAGTTTTAATTGAAATTTTAATTTTTTTATAATCCAAATTTGATTTCGACTTCGCCTTTAATTTTTAATATACAGGGTGTTCATAAAGTCCACTTACAATTTCAATTTTGTTATGAAGTCAGTTCTCAATATATCTTAACCAGGTTTGTTGTTTTTTATTCAGTAATCTTAATAAGTATGTATCTTTACTTCATTCAATACATCTGTGAGGACCAAAACAAAATATGGTATCGATAATTTCCCTTTGTAATTTTATAAAATTTCAAGACTTTGTGGACATCCTATACTTGGACAGACGTGTTACATATACAATAGAATGCTAACATTCTTTTCTGACAATGGAAAAAACAATAAGGCTTCCTTATGAAAATCAACGCAAGACACGCGGCACAAATTTTAATGAGTTTTTAGTAAAACAAAAAGATATCGTCATAAGTCAAAACCTTGGATTTGGGCAAAAAGACGATACAATTCAGCACATAATACATTATTTTAGGTGTTAGTTGAGTATCCACTTTGATGTGGTGGTCCAGAAATTCAGAAATAATTTTTTTTTTGACTAAATGTGTAATTCAACGAATTAACCAGAAAGAGTTCTACTTACTGACGATTCTTCGCCTTGCAACGTTTTGGGTTCATCTGGAGTAAGTAGTGTTGCACGTTTAGCATCCATGATTCCAGAACAAGGCTGTGGTGTACAATTACTTTTACCGCCATGTTTTTCCATTCCCAAGTCTGGGGTGTTTTCATTTCCTCTAATTATGTATTTTTCATAGCAAATTCAGGGATCGAATTTTCTCATTGTTCTGTGACGTCATAATTGATTTGTTGAGTTATTTAATTTACTATAAAGGTGTATTTATTTTTTTTAAATTGGTCTTAAATTAATAAAATATTCTGAAAAGTAATTTGTTATTCTAATTAAATATAAATATTACGTTATATTATGAATTTTATGGACAAAAACGTTGGTGCTAATTTATCAAAGTGCATATTCTCTCACAGTTGCGTTGTATAGTTATAATGTTCAAATGTGAAATTTTGAAAAAAGCTAAAATTTACTATTCATCGTAGAAATAGATATTTGCTGTAAGCTTCTTTTGCGAGCTGAGTGTTTTCGTATGCCGAAGACCTTTCAGTTTGAGATTCTAAATCCACATATTTTAAGTTCATACGAGAAAAAAACATTTGGCATAAATTTTTTTCTTAAAATAGGGGGAACCCTTCAAGTGGACGGATGAGAGGACAGTTGGAAACCTTCCTTGATAAAACGAATTTTCAAAGTCCCTTAAAAGATCTTTAAAATAAAAATGCAAGACAACATTTTCTGAAACTTGCCTGATGTTCGAATCAGTCGTAGTGTATCTACTGGTCTGTTTTATTTTTTTTCCCCCAATGTCATAATTTTAGTGTAAAGTTGTACGACATTTTCAAAACGGATAGCAACAGTTTTTCCAAACGTTCAAAATCAGTTATTGTCGCCCAATTATGAATAAAAAATCGAAGAAAGTTTTAAACAATAATTTTATATTTGATTTACAATGATAAAAGCACAAATAATTACTCTTTAGCAAATCTGCATAGAATTGAAATCACACATGATAATAAGAAACTTCTGAACAATTAAAAATAGATAGAGATAAAAATTAAACGAACAAAATCAATTACTAATATTGAACTGATATCGATTGTCGATATAAAATGGAAACAATCCAAAGTTCGATTATCAACTACTTAAATGGTATCAAACGTCAAATTAACATCTTCTACATGAAATATTGAATATTAGAATGGTTCATTTCACCAATCATGTATAATTTCAATGACGCATCGGAACAAAATAATAAAAAAAAGGGAATAGAAAAATTGTTAATGCAGTACGTATTAAGATTGAGATTTACAGGCAACAAACGAAAGTTAAAATTTGCATAAAAACTTAGGTATTTATGTCTTTTTCTTTGGTAGATGAGGATTAAAAGATCACATATCCGTTGGTTGAAGTAATTTAACGTTACGTAAAAAGATTCCGCTATTGTCCTCTAAAAGATTCATTCACATCTTGCATTCTGAATTGCTTAAAATTTCGTGTCTTCGCCACCTGAAATTTGCGCCTCTAACGATTCAGGAAGATACCCTGCTTTATAGACCGGAGAATCTGTTTCGGAACAAACGTCCAGCGCTCCATTATAATAACCATTAGGCGATTTTCCGGTTGATTCTGACATTGAGTAGCCGTTCTTCATTTCCCCTGATACATGATTTTTTTCGTGATCATTTTTTGGTGTAGTCGTTTTATTATTATTTGTGCTGGTGTTCGCAGTTTCTGTTGATTTGAAACGTAGAAAACATTTTAGTATCAAGTTTATCAACCAGAAATTACGTTTGATTTTATGAATAGTTGTTACTTACTAGACCGTTCTTTGAGGGAAGATAAAGCCGGAGCTGAGCCAGGAACACCACCTTTGTCAACGCTGTAAAATGGAAAATGAAAGTAAGTCACTTGAAGTATGTGGTCAAAAGTTGTGAAAACGCGATTTAAATTATCCTTACCTTCCAGACATAACTGATTGCTGTGTGTTTTGCTCGGGATAGAACAGTATCGTAAAGCAACGAGGTCCGAACAAGCATATGAGAACTGTAGCTGCGCTTAGACTCAAGCATACTGATGTAGTCATTATCTAGAAAAAGAAAATAAAATTGGTAAACGACAGAGCAATTTTTGATAAATTAATATATATGTTTGCAGATTAACCGCAGTACAGGTAGCCTTTGCGCCCACAATATAATTTGTTGCAAATATAGTCCATCGCTATCGTACTTGTCTAATGTAATGCCACCTGGGGGCGCAATATTCGTTGAAATAGCAAAATTTGGAGGCAAATAACGACCCCCATTGAAAATTTAGGAAATAATTTAAAGTAAAATCTTTTTGGTGACTTTAACCATCCTCAAGTATGGAAATTGAAAAACGTTCAGTGCAATAATTATGAAGAAAAACGATTCTTCCCAACAACAAATGTCACACAAACAACCACAACAAAAATCTACCTATTAGATCCATGTGTACGATGCGTGTCCAATAAAGAAATACATACAAACAGTAGATATTTTACTTACTCTTTGTGCTAGATCTGAGCTATTCGTTATGAAGATTGGTAGAAATGCAAGCCAAATGACACATGTTGTATACATTGAAAAACCTATAAAACAGTTTGTTGTTTGTCAAGTAAAGTTTTTGAAGAAACATTCTTCGTAAATATTCCATGAAATGATATAGACCATTTATGAGAATACTGATTTGTTAAGGATTTAGTCTGAGCACGTCGATATTACAAAATAAAAATTTCTGTCACAACCAAAATATAACCAAATTTTGATGTTTTAGCTGAAAAATGGTACTTCTGAAGTAATGGCGAACACCGGAACGTAGTATGTGTACCAGGTTAGGTTATAATTTTATTCCAATTTTCCTTAATTTAGTTCTATTTCGAGTTCGGGGACTAGCCAATTGACTCGGGTAGTATTTGTACCTAAAATTATGGCCTAACCGTGACCTGGTACACATACTACGTTCCGGTGTCCGCCATCTTGGTACGCATACTTCAGGAATACCAAAAAATAGCTTGAGGAATTGGTTGAGATTGCGATTACATTAAGATTTGGCACGTCGCACGAGGCTTATTGTTTTCCACTTTTTTTTCATGACCTTGTAGATATTGTTCATAGAATGTAACTTTTTACCTCACACTTACATGGCCCGCCAATCAAGATGGCAAAATTTTCGGCACCTGGTCCATCCCTGCTTTTAAAGTATAAATCCAGTCACAGCAAGCAAAAAATTTACCTATATATTGTGTTTCGTTGAACCCAGTCGGCACATTTCTGTTTACAGTTGCAAATACAGTGCATATAATGATGAGTAAAAAAGGATATATTAGACCAATCAGAATAGGAATATCCACTAGGTGTTCGCATGCATAAAACGCTATCTCAGGCGTTGGATACAGGATCTCAACAGAGGGTTTACTGATGATAAACCATGCCACAAGTACAACAGTTTGAAGCAACACAAGACCAGTTGTCCATAAAATTTGAGGCCACGGTCTTATGAACATCTTCACCTGAGAAAAAGTGTAATTGATGTAATTTTTTAAAAACTTAAATTACTGCATGATTGGATTTTTTGTCATAAAGCAATAGATTTTAGTCTGATGCAACTGTATCTAATACTGTAACAAGGGAATCCTAATTCCGCTCGTGTTCTATATAGGATTCCGTCACAGTAACAACAAATCCCTAGTTTTAAAGTCTGGCAACTACTTTCTATATTTTACTACATCTGCTGAAAATGTGCAGTAAATGTTTATTACCGTTTTCTGAACACGAGTACAAATTAGGAAATGTATGCTAGAATAGTGTGTTAAATAGTTAAAATAAGTTTGAAGAGGAGGCCATTCAGGATCCGTCTTGTGAGCTAAATTGTCTACGTGGGATAAAATCCTTTGAAACGGAGGCTGAACATTCCAACTACAGTATTTATAAACCCACCCTTTGAGAGAGAATTGCTTTGGACTGGAAGATAATCACAACTCTCAGCGTTTTTGTAAGAAGTCCTGCATACATACAAGTTGGTCCCATTGCAAGCAATACCCTGGAAACGACGCAAGTTGTAATCGTAGGAGAAGCAGTCAACGACAAAAAGTTTAAAAATGTAAGAAACACACCGACAAGCACGAAAAAGCATAGTTCCTGAAAATGAAAAAAATTTGAAAATTTTTCCACGCCAATAAAATTTATTAATTTTTTCACCTTTGTTTTAGTCTTACCCTGCCTGATGCTTTCACAATGGCCGTTTCACGATACACTATGTATATAGCGGTTACAATCAGTGTCAACGCCAGTCCAACCGCTCCAACACATATGCAAGCAATTCCATAAATGCTTTCGTACGATACTTCGCTAAAAACAATTGATTATGATATTAAAAATATGATAGTTGGACACAAATGAACCAATGGGCTGTTTTTCTAAACGATTGTTTCTGTTGTTGTTGTTGTTGTGGTAAAATGGCTTTGCTCTACAACTGGATTGCAACCGATAATTCCGCGCTTCGAAGTTTTCAGTACATCAATATAAAAGGAATTTCCGGAAAACTAATATATACCTTTATTATTTACTTGTTTCCTTAATGTACATGGACCGATATTTTGTCTAAAAGGTTGAATTTTTATTGTTATTCACGGGAACAATGATTTGATATTTGGCTTTTGTGGCCTTACGACGGGTTAGTCCGACATCCTCGCAACAATCCCGGCTTCTAAGCTAACGCTGATGGCTGCGGTAATAGTTGTTATTGGAAATGAAATGTACATATGGGATTGTTTTTTTTTTTATTGGGTGACATTTGTTGTTAGAAAAGGTCGTTTTTCTATGGGACTAATCGGTCAATCGATATTAAATTTCATGATCCTGTTATAATCACCGTACCTTATTGGGAGAGGAACACATGACGTTGTGTCTTCATTTGGCTTTGTTCCTAACATGCACTTGAGACATGCTGTTCCGTTTTCCGATACATATTCATCTTTTCTGCACCTTTGGCAGTGCCAGCAACAAATCTGAAATGAAGGAAATTAGAGCGGTCATCAGCAGTCCATCAAATATAATGAATGGGGTTTAGGATCCTTATCATTACACTAAATATTTTCCCTTTTCTGAAACTCGTACCTCCGTTCCTTCTATTCTTGCTTCCCCAACTTCACAAGGTTTTGCACAGACTGATTCAGTGGTGTAAATTTTTGACGCTAATTCCTCATTCCAGGAAACATCTAAAATAGAAGATGTAGTTCCAATTGTACCGATCATAGAATAACCGATTCAAACTACTAATTCATTCTTTTTTTAATAACAGAAATTTTATTTGATAATATTTCTGATTTTATAGGCAGACGGAAAACAGTGACTTACTTCCTAATTTGAAAACTCCCGCTTGCACCCATTTCTCCAATTTCGATCCAAGTCTAGTTCGCTCTTTTCTTTTGTAATTTAGAATATTGTAAACTGCTGGACCATCCTGCTGTTCATCGAACTCAACCATGTTGCCATTAAATCCTGAAAAACATAAACAAAGTTGGTTGGAACGAATGCTTTACTCATTCTACAATTGACTTTGATTATTTTTTTGTTTTGCTGCCATGCATATCAAAGTCAGTTTCTAACTATTCCATCAATAATGAATTCATTGAATTTTCTCAACTCAAAAGGAGTTGATCTCCTTTGGAGTATGCATATTTTGTGAGAAATTACCCTTAGTTGAACTAAAGAAATTAACTTTTATATCGGTGACAATTTAAACACTATAAATAGCATATGCTATGTGTTTATATAGATAAAAACATCGGAATATGTCATGGCTAACCTTTAAAAGTGAGATTCCTCAGATAATCATAAAGACCGGTTGCCAGCAGATTAGTTCCGGAAAGTTTTGACATAGCCTTGCATAAGCCTGGTTTACCTCCGCACTTATCTTTGTGGTATTGATCCAACGCATAAACAAATGAATAAACAGCATTTGCTACACTCTGGAAGTAAAAAGTAATATTTAACCAATTACAAACATTAATATTTTTGCTAGGAAAGTTTTTGCGAAGCCTAACATACCTCCATTTTTGTCATATGAACGAATCCAGATCGATTTACACTTTCGCCTGGAGAGCATATACGCAGATCAGAAACTAAAACATGAAAATAATATGATAATTTAAAACATTTGTAATCTAATATCATATCCGATTACCGATCCCGATTTTATCAGACTCCTCTCCCCCACATAAAACAAACAAACAATGGTGTGAATCATGTCAAGTATTTACTTTGAAAATAACTCAACCGTATTAAGAATTACAAAGACTAATGCGATAAGAATTGAAATTTAGTCCGTTGCAATAATATTTTTCTGAAAAGGAACTAATTTTTAGACACATAAACAAACCTGATTTAAGTGAACATCCATTTTTCTCACTTATGTATTCGGCAAACCACGGATTGCGGAAATTTCCTTTGTTCTGGCTGAGTGTAATATTGGTAAAATATTCGTCAAAACCTTTTAGATGGCTTGTTTTGGGTGTAAATCCGATTGAGCCTGTAAAACATCACGCATTGCACAAAAGAAATTTTCAGAAAAAGTATTTCGGAAGAGTAATTAAGAATTCATTACCGTCGAGTATATCTTCATTAAATTCATCATTTTCTGACATAGGTAGCTGACCACTCCATCCATCCGAACCAATCCATATAAATTCATTCGCCACCCCTCCGAATTCCTGAGCAGCAATCATGAGCTCCGACGCATCGTTACGTTTTGTGAAGACAATGATAGCTGAAAATTCGAAAGTAAAAAGGCTTGGGAGTTAAACAATGTACGATATATGTGTGATATTTACTTCTTTGATTCCTGTTCTATTCCTAATAAGGGTACATCTACATGTGTGGAACTCGAAAACCGACGAGAAACCCTGGTGTCGATTATGTTCAAAGTTCACCAAGAGTTTTCTTCCATACGGGTTGTCAACTGACGTAAAGAAACGATACATCTTTATTAATATATAAAACATATAATAATCTCGTGTAATTTTTTAGTAATCTGTGAGTGTGGTATATGACTATTGTATCAGGTTTGAATAAATTCTCTGTGGAGTTCAAATTTGAGTAGAAATTTAATAAAACTTAAAACGGTATATCATATATACAAAAAAAAAAAAACAGGTCCTCCCGTATTATGTGTACTAGGTTAGGATTAGGCCCTAATTTTATTCATATTTTCCTTATTGTAAGTCCATTACGAATTCGCGGACTGTCTGTGTTATCAAAGTGAATATACCCCCTGCCATGGGCTTCAGTCCCTTCACACAACTTGATGTAAAGTAGGCCAACAAAATTTGTTATCTCCATATTGGTACACACACTTCTGGCGCGCCAAAAAATGTATGTTTTATTTACTTTATTGTATTTTTCACAAAAATTTTTTGAAAATTTTGTAGCAACTATACGCTTACCACGTGATACTTTGCTTATCAAATTTTTCACGATATTTTTAAAATCCGACTTCGTTGGATTGCGTGGGACAGGTTGAGATATAGCAATACAAATATTTTCCTTTTCAGCCGTTTCCTTCACCTCTGATAAATAGAATATGTTTTCAAAACAAATTTAGTCAGCAATTTTTAAGGTAATATGAGTTTGAAGATAGTATTTAAATAATATGCGACCTGCCCACGAGCATGAAATGCAAATATATTTTGCTTGATATTTCAGCAATTTTACTACAATCTCAGGAAATAAATTGTTTCAAATTGACAGCTGTTTCACTGTGACGAAATCACAGAAAACATGCTGTCAATGTTACAGTTTTCTGTTTTGAGATTATAAAATTAATGATGGAATTTAAAAAAAATAGGATATGTTTCTTGCACAGAAATAGATTCAAAAATCGGGATATTTTGTTTGTTTTTTACCCACGCATTTTTTACATGTTGCCAGTCATTCGCATTACTACGATTATCATATTCATAAATGCAAACAAACAGCTTAAATTTGAATTTATATTTTGTTCATATTTTGTATACTTACCGGTACATATTTGTAAACTTACCGGTATATCCTCGTACACCATAAAAGTCGTCTTCATAAACGACCGATATATAATTCCATCCAAGTTGTTTTGCAACGGCAATCATTGCTTTAGCCTGTAATGAAGATAGTTTTGATATTTTTGCATCAAGTTATCGAAGATGGTAGAGTCAATTTTTGGACGCAAATTGAACTTATGAGTCGTCGTAGTATTTCATAAAATTATATTTCTAACTTTGTAATGAGTGCCTCTACTTTGTAAAAAAAATATCGAATGATATATTTAGGAAATTTGAAAATGACCTATGTTGTATATTGAGTCGAATTAAAGCTCTATGAACGACTCTGTGGGTAATTAGGTATGCCTTATGAATGGTATGATGAACTGTTAATCAATATATAGCACAATTTATGTTCATTGATTAAGCTAAATAATATTGATATTATGCATTTAATTTCAAAATTTGTCTGACCCAATTTTGTGGCCAACAATACAGGAAATTTAGTACAGATTTAATAGGTCTACGATCTATAAGGGTTCAAATTACATTGTTTCTTCCAATATACTTAACGAAGTTTGTGCTTCATTAAAAAACAATCGATTGCCTTGAAATTTACTGATTAATATCATTAATTAATCTTTGACATATAATCTCGAATGTTGTAGATTATATGTTCGTGAAATACATGTAAGTTTTTGTAAGACTAGGTTCTTTTCTGGACGACAGGACACCGTGTAGTCTATACGTATTATAATACTTATCACAATGCACAGTATTTTACAACTTACAAACGTTGGAGGCTGTAGATGATATTAATAGACACACCAATCTCTGAAACCGATATTTTTAGCTGTAATGTCAACATGGTGAGCCCTATGCAGTAATGAACGTGATATTACACATTCTATGACTCAAACATATCGTTATAATTAGCATATTCGCTGTTAAAAATATCTTCAGTTATTTTTATTTACAAAAATTTTCAAAGTAATAAACAAAAGTTTTGGCGAAAAAATAATTCAAAATTCAATATCAAAAAGTACCTGATTTGTATCAGACGGAACAGTTCGAAAAAAATATTTATATCTTGCTTTGTTGCTTAAATCAGGACTTGTAGACCAGTAGCTAACCTGTGTGATCACAAAAATAATATTGGTTTTAAATGTTGTACCAATACAAACTGAATAATAAATGAGTCATGTATTCAAATTTTCAAATTTCATGCCCATGTTAAACAATTCTTTTTAAGACATAAGATTGAGTTGAAGTAGTTCCAATTGAAACCGTAAATAATTCATTCGACATGATGTAAACTATAATTATTTGGTGTTCGCTTATTTAACTTCAATGAGAATATTTAAATGGCGTTTTGAGCTTAGGATAACCTATTATTGCGGTTACTATTATTTCAAGTGAAATATCTAACGCATCGACATGTACAAATTACAACCAACGAGGCATGAAAAATCGTATCACTTTAAAATATAGATTTGAAAAATTTTATTTTGAAAAACACTCATTCCACTGAACTTAAACGTTTATTATTTCGCTTTCAACGATATCCTTGAATAAAAGTTACGTACATCAAAAAAGACAGATGAGCAAATTATAATTTTCTGGTATTTTGATCTCATTTTGATTGATTTTGACTTACCTGTGGTATTTGGAACACTTGTAATAAATTTGCGACTTGTATGGATACCGCACTAGAAGCAGATCCAACAACACCTAATAAAAGATGAAAATATAGAGTAAAAAAAAGCTGAGAAAAAGTCGAAGCTGTGCAAAATTTACAAATGGAGTTTTCACCTGCTTAGGATTCAACTAATCATTTGAATTTTGTTGTTAATGACGGCATGTCAAAATACAGCTTATTTGAACTTATTATTTCGCTTTGGCAAGTTCATTATTAATTGTCTAACCTGCAATTAACGATGTTGCCACTTGTGGTCGCTCTTCAGAGCTACTTGTGGACTGTATGCTGACATTCCATAATAACGGCAAAATATCTACAACAACCTTCATTAAAAAAAATCAGTAAATATCAGTTATTTACATGTTTGTCGAAGACAAATGAGGGTGTTTATACATTTGATTTAGTGATCTGTAACCTAATTATGACGTCTCGTCGTTTATGAATGCATTCTGGAAATCGAAAATGAAACTAAGATCGGCGAACTAGCGTGATAAAATAACGTATTGCCATATTTTATAAAAAGTGTTTCCATTATTTGAAGTAAAAAAGCCAATCTTTGGGGTGAAATATCGGGTACCGATAGTCTTCTATAGCGGCTATAAACAAAGGTAACGAAAATTTGAAATTTAGCGATACATTGGATGCGGAAAGAACACTTTTTCAAACAACCTCAACAATAGGAAGTTAGCGAAACGATCTTCATACACGCCGTGTTTGATAGTTATTGTACGAAAATATATATATAGTATTACATTTGTTGGCTATAATCTAATTGCACTACTGCATATTATGAGAATTTAACATAAAAACGTAATTTATCTTAAATTCAAGAAGGAACGGACAGATACGTGATGTGTGTATTGAACGGAACTCTATATGAGTAAATGATATTATAATGTAAATTCATATAAAAAGTATAAAAATGTGAGCGATCGTTTCTGATTGCTACTGCAAACAAGTATGGATGGATATATGTCATTGAATACTATTGTTCATAAAAATACAAACAAATTTTATGTCGTGACAAATTCCAACCCTATAAAACATGTCCTGTCGCACTTCCAGGAACATAGTTGCAAGACATGTTTTATTTGCACGAAATAACACGTACTTCAATGATTAATCTGACTAATAGAAAATGTCTGATTGGTGACCGGTTACATGCAACAACTCACCCGTTTCAATGCATGACTGTCCACGTCACATGTATCAACCATAATCGTACCAAGTCTAATCTTGGGCAGAATTTTTGTGTTTCTGTTAACCTGCATACGAGAAAAGAATTTTTCAATACTAATTACAATGCGAAATATATATTTGAAAACTGCTTATTTGTACATATTTTAGATGACGTATAGAGAAAAGACAAATATACATAAAACACAGATAGATTTTAATTCCAGCAAAATTAAAATAAAAAAGTCGGAAAATGTCGCATAATTGTTGCGAATATACATTTCGTTGAAATTAATTCAATTTATGTTTAAATTTTTGCCGAATAAACAATTTCGAATAAAAAACATTTTGAGGCATCTCAAAATTTCTTTTTCTGGCATGATATAAATGATAGCTTAAATAAGGTTGCATGATTTTAAAGCTGTACACTTCCAACACCCTTTTAGGTTATAACTGCATTGACAGTTTGTTCTACTATAGTCACACAGAACACGTAATTTTAATTGCAATGAATGATTGACTTCTGGAACAACGTTAAATATTTATCTATGGAGCGTTTTGTTTAGACTGTCTGTCTTTGTTTGTCAGAAGCCCTGGGTCGATGTATCAATAATGCATTTTCAAGTCAAACTTGCATTATTTTAGCTAGGATAGAATTTATGTATTTATCCCGAGTGATAGAAAAGGCGATAAGAAGGCCTCATCATGAGGCGAACCAGGGCATCTTGTCCGGTTATTAGTCCACGCCGGGTATGGGATTAGTTAGACAGTTATTTGTTTTGGATACTTGAACTTGATGGTGGAGGAAGTCGTAACCGTCCATCAGTTACGTGAACCACGCTACGGCGACGAGGAGTTCATCTCGCGAATATTATCCCCCGCGATATTCGAACTTACGAAACCACACATAGTAATCAAGGTAGCCCTCCCTTATCACGATGCGTCACACTTGGCATTTATATGGTGGGAAGCAACAATCTGTCCAAATTGACTCCTCTAATATTTTTGCTATAAATATCATTTTTATCTATTTTCAAATGGAAATTTATTATTGATCTGCCATTGAAACGATTTTTTTTCGTTATCACTCATTTCTTACAGTAATTTGACATGTTATGAACGACAAATGATTCTGAACGCTGCAGATCGACTGCGTGAATTACATAATACATTATGTTTTATTGATCACGTTTTGACATATTATCTTTATTTCGACAAATATTCACGATAATTCGATAAATTCAAGCTTCATTATTGTTGCTTTAAATTGGGGATGCGCCATAGAAAGCGTAGATTGTACTACTCTACGACTGAAGAAATCTAAAAATGTTACCGCTAAACCAATTCTCGAGTTTCCAATAGTTGAAGCGATGGTATAAGTTTACTTTTGCCGGCTGCAAACTCGCTTCATCATAATAATATGACAAGAAAAAACAGTTTCAACCGTTAGTTTGATGGATCACGCGCAATTTTGAAAGCTTTTATCCTTTTTCTCGAATTCAAAAATCAACCAAGAATACCGATGACCGAAGCATAATTAACGTACAGTTTCTGTGCGAGAAAAGTACTCTCAAGTTTGGAATACAACCGACCCGTGACATTATGATATAATAATTGCATTGGCACAAATAGATTGAAGACTTAAAAGTACTATTCATGCGAATTTAACTTGTGTGACTCAAGTACAATACATGTATGCAGTGGTGGAATTTAAATTTTTTGTCAGCCGGATCCATCACACAAATGTCATATTTTCAGCCGGATCTGTCACAAAAAAATCATGTTTTTTTTCAGTAATGCTAACTGGTTCCCTGATCCCATAAAATTCCGTGAGACGGTTCTATAGAACCGGTGCGAACCGGCTGAATCCCACTACTGCATGTATGGTATTTACTAGAGGTGCAGAAAATTGCACAAACAAGCAATTTGAACTTAGTAGCATTGTGATCACCGTTTTAACACAATATCATCTTTCGTAAACAGTTTTGTCGTGTGCATTAAATTCATTTCGAGTTTTGCTGCTGCTATACTGCTTGCTCATTACAACTTGATTATCAATCCCAAACTTTCAAGACAACTTCCGTTCAAGATGAGTAAAGGTATTGCTTTTAAATTGTAAAAATATCATGCCAATGAAAACTTTTTAAGTTTGGTTACGGAAGTGCTATACTTTCTAACATAGGAGTTTTTAAAAGTGAGTAAGTCTAGACTAGACAAATTCTACCATTTGTCCCTTCGATTCGATTCAAAATATAGATAAATAATTTAATTTGAGTATGGTAAATTTTGTTTGCAAATGCTTGGAATCCGTTAAACGTGACTTACAATTGATGCACGAGAATATCTAAACCGAGACTGAGAGCATTATTCTGCATCATTGCGGGGTGGTGACTTGAGTCTATTTTTAACGAAGGAAGTAATCCAATCACTATAAATAATAAGGCCGGAAATGCAAGCTTGACAGGGCCGTAAAACTAATTTCTGTGATTGTGAAGTATGGGACTAAAGCACCTAAGAGTCAAGCACAGAGATTTTAGTATCTTCGGCATCTTGTGTATTTGATTACAAACTTACAACTAAAAAATGGCCAATCTACATATCGTCTTTACAAAATAATTTTGACACCCGGAACCCACATAAATAATCATCAATTCAAATGCGATATGGGTTATAGATATTTCCTTCTCATACCAGAAAAATACCACCATTTGTTCCTTTGATTCGATCCAATATATAGATAAATAATTTAATTTGAGTATGGTAAATTTTGTTTGCAAATGCTTGAAATCCGTTCAAAGATATATACGTGACTTACAAGTGACGCACGTGAATATCTCAACCGATACTTACTTTATTCTGCATCATTGCGGGGAATGACTTGAAAATCTATTTTTAACGAAGGAAGTAATTCAATCACTATAAACAATTGTGTTGTTATTTTTATTCCAGGCTATCGTAAAATCTATTATTGTATATAGCCAAACTGCATATGGCAATATTGTGATCGGAACGAGTGACTGCGCATGACTGGTTACCCATTTTTATAGCTGATATGCGGACATGACCGCACGAGTGACAGTGATACACGATACATCCGTAATAATTGTAAAGAATTATCTTTTTGAAATACTATGGGTTCGACAAAATGTAAATTACGTTAGCTAGTTTCAATGTAGAATAAGGACGTCCTAAATCACACTTGAGTGGTGAATTGGCCCCATTTTTGAAAACTGAATCCAACCCAAACCCGAAGGCCGAATACAATCTTGGTAAGACCGTAAAATTACTTTCTGTGATTGTGAAGTAGGACTAAAGCACCTACGAGTCAAGTAAAGAGATTTCAGTATCTTTCGCATCTTGTGTGTTTGATTACAATCTAACAACTAAAAAATGGTCTATATACAAATTGTCTTCACAGAACATTTTTGCCACCCAGAACCCACTTATATAATCATCAAATCCATTGCGATATGTGTTATAGATACCTCCTTCTTATATAAGAAAAATACCACATGTTTTCGCGAAACTCTTGCGAATTATTAACTACGAGGCGTCTCAGTTAATTAGACTATTATGGGATAATAATATTGACGGTATATAATAAGCTACCGGAAATTGAGTTTTTGTTTGTCAAAAATTATTTTAAGCAAATAAACAGAAGCTGAGTAATTTAAGAACAATTTTATACGCTACATCTTCCTGGTAAATATAAGACGTCAACTGCCTGATATACGTACGTAAGCCATACGTTATTCGGACTCAATATTAGTAAGCCATTAAAGTATTTCCTCTTGAGTTTCATGTTAGTGTATTGAATACATGGGAGTAAATATATAGCAATATCGTCATGCATTCATAATTATGTCCAAAAGGGCTAAATGTACAAACGAAATTGTAAAGCTCAAATATACTGGATACGAAAGTCAAATCTCAATGTAATGTTGGTCAAATTTCAACCATATGTTCAAATTATCAAACCGATTGCCATAGGTAAGTGTTTATGGAAGGTGTAGCAAAACAATCCATGAGTTCACTTCGCGTCCTATAACGGAATCGTGTAGGCAGCATAATATAGTCTACATATGCAAACTGATTCGAAAACATGAGTTTATCTTCCTAAAAAACCGTAACCCCGGTATTTATTTTTTGTACCTCGTCCCACAAATATGAATATAGATAGTATTAACATGAAAATCACTTAAGACGTTAGAATTGTAATATTCGATAAAAATCCGACCTGATCAATGATCATATTCATTGTTTCAACAGCTTGGATTCCATCTTCTTGTATTTTAGAGCAGGCTTCGTTACCTCGTCTGTGTACACGCATCAAACCGGCAAGTAAAATATCACCAGAACGATATTGAAGTAAGTTACCAGCCTCCTAGGAGTAAACATTTTACCATGAAATGCCAGTAGATTGTCACCGTTATTTTGAATAGATTCTAAGTAATATTCTATGAGTTGAAATGAAAATAGCATCGAAGTAATTTCTGACGATCAGGAATATAAAGTTTATTCTCATGTTCAAAGCTCAAAAACTAGTAACTTGTTCGAAAAAAATAGGGTTTTGTCAAATTTTCTTACTTTTTCATGCAATTTTTTTTAAAACAGAAAACTCACCGTTTTGGTTTTGTACATCACATTGGTTGTTGCGACATGAAATAAATCTAGAAAATTAATGTCTAGAATTAGAATTTTGAAATTAGGATTTCCACCAGATTTAACAGTAGTATATCGGTTTGTGATTGAGTATTTATGTGTAATCCTTAGATTACCAACTCAAAAAATTTACTTATATTTAATTTGAGTGGTATGTTGTTTTCTTCCAATAAATTCCACATTTTGTACATATTTTATGTACAGAAAACAAAAAATAGCAATATTTAAAGCATAAAGTAGGATACACAATATATTATTTAATGTAAATCGATGCGGCACTTACTTGATAAGACAACACTAGTAATAAACATACTCCAAATTTGTGAGGGGACATTTTTATTCTCCATGACAGAATATAATCCTAATGTATGCAACACTGCAAAAATAGAAATGAGTTATTATAACAAGTCACAGTCGTGAAATAGAAAATGGAACTGAGTGTTGGGGATCTTTGCGTTTGTATTTAAAAAGGCAACTTGAACAGGATTCGTATGAGGAAAACTAATTAGATTGGAAAACCCAGGCTATGCTTTACTGTTCCAGATGGAGACAAACCACGTATATGGTAATCTCTTGGACACAAAATGGGGCTATGTATCCATTTTGTTTTTATGTTGATGTTTTGAAAAATAGCTTTTCTCTTTAACTACTGGGCCAATTGCTTTAAAATTGTCAGTGGTTTAAGAATGTTGTTGTCGCTTGGATCTTGGATGACGTCACAAAAATTAAAAATTTGCGTACTTTGTGGCGTTTCCGCGTTCGCGTTCGTTGCGATTTGGTGATCAGTCAAAGTCGGAAAGACTGCGTACGATATCGGTAATATAAATTAGATTAGATACCGGATCTGGCCCACGGGCCGTAGGTTGCGGACCCCTGCTATACGGCCTATTTCTCTATTTTATAACACCAATATAATTATTGCCACAACATATTTTAATTCACCCACTGTTTCAAATTATGTTCTAAATACAAATTATCACTAGTTTAATATTAATGCACAGAGGTTTCCCAAACAGAAATCCCCTAATCGAAGATTGCCGTTTGTTATTTCAACAGCCGTTGAGATTTGCAAGATGAAAGGCTATACATAATGTCACGTTACTGAATATTTCATTTCATTTTAAAGACCGACCTGTTAAAAAATTGACAATACATGATTATTTTTTTGTGGTATCATTAAATATAGGTATTTGTCTGCTAAGACTGATTTACAAGCCTATAGCGTTACCGGTGGCTCAGGAAAGGTGCGCCGTAGAACTGAATAAACGCAATTATATACATAACATTGATGAAATGTGTTTTGTGACGACATGCACTTTAGCCAAAATCAGATACCGAGAGTGTCTCAAAATGTTTACTGGAAGCCCGCTGCAATAATATAAATATTTTAAAAGAATAAATATATGCCAGCCTTTTTTTTAATTTTTATTCACATTTTCATCGTGTTATTTTAGTTGTATGTATATTGAAGAAAACCTGGAAATTCTGACATTTTTTACATTTATGGACGTGATAAACAAATCACCTATTTTTAATTGAAACAAGTTTTTGCAGTAAAAATACAGTTTGCCACAAATAAAAGGTGACGTCATTTTTGCCGACAGACAAACCTCATAAAATATTTTTACAGTGTGTACCAAGTATAATCAACCCAATAACCCAACTTACACCAATTGCACAAAAATATTCATTTATGCCTGAGGATACTTCATCAGTTTGACGATTTTTATCATGTTCTTTTCAATTTTTTTGTCTTTCTATTGCCTATATAACTCTACATTATTATTTTACTAGAATTAAATAATACACAAAACAGCGAGAAAAATCAAACCCTCAAATAAATAATAAATTGATGATATTGGGATTATACTAACCTACTGTCTGCAATAAGCATGTCACTATGCCAACACGACCTGGCAGCACTCTTTCTAATTGAGAAATAAGATATATACTGCGTCTTTGTAAAAATACGGAAGATCGTGATTTGACATCAATTTCACTCACAAAAGTTTTCAGTCAGTGCCTAGATTTGAAACATAATATCATACTTGGTCGTGCAGTTATTTTATGTTCTGTATCGTGGGGACCGTTGATATTTCTTTTTCTATATATGATTATGGTGTGGTACAAGTATGTTTATAGTTAAATAACTCTGAGTGTAATCTAAGCGCAGATGGAATCTTTCTGAGCCTTACACGCTTGAACCATATATATGAGCAACATGGCAGCGAGTTACAAAACCAAATCAATAGAGAATTAGTTTGTCCGTTGTGTCAGAATTCACTCCAACCTTATATCATTCTTTGGTAAAGTGACGCAAGTTTTACCTGAATTTTCCATTCATTATATGTGTCAGAAATGACAGCTAAATTTAAATTTTTGATCATTTTCAATGTATATTAGAATAAATATTTATGTTTTTGAAGCTTACCAGTAACAAAGACTGATGAGAGCAATATTTAATATTATTATTTATTTATCTCGCAATGTTTCTTATACATAAGTCTCTACCGTCACAGACTTAAACAAATGATAGGTTGATTACTTACTGTGACAAGTATTAAAATAGCAAAATGAAATGTATATTAAGTGAAAAGTCTATTCGTATCTCACAAACCTGATGATTTTGCTATATGAGGTTAAAATAAACGTAAGTTTTACTTATCCTATTTCATTATCCTGACTCTATACCTCAATCAAAACCCCAACGAAGTTACCCTACTGGGTGAGGGTTGAGCAAAAGTCTTTTTCTCACTCGGGGGTATTTTCAAAAGCCGATTCCTAAACCCCGATTACATTTTCTACATTCTAATTATACAACTGTGTTTAATCGCCATTTTAAAACCATCAACAACCTTTTATAGACCGAAATATTCATAGTAGATATAAAACCCGCTCGCAGAAGCACATCTGCGTAGACAATATTCTTTGTCCGAAATCCCAGCACAGTATAATGAAGAGCATATATATCGAACTGGACTACGTTTTTACATAATCTACCTTGTGTGTAGTCAAATCAATCTGTGTCGACAAAACCTGTCACGTAATAGAGAATTCACAACATAAGAGGCAAAATAAATAATGCATTCACGCTCATCGAAGCGATTCATGATCTGATCTCGTTGCGTTGGCGATCAAGAATGATACAATTTATAAAAAAATATCAATCAATTCTCAGGTTAAATGCCTCCATTTAAAGCGATGAGAATATATCTTGTAGCCTCCACTGTTAGTCGACGTCTTCTTTTAAACCTAGGTCATATTTGAAAAAAATTAAATAAGTACAATAAAAGCAAAGCAGGTCATTTGACTTAAAACAATACTTCGTCATTTATTTGAGATAGATTTGAACTGCCTATATCTTAAATAACCCTCCATCCTCATTCATACATCGGCACTCAAAAATTTTCTCTCAATTTTCACTGGAACATTTCACCATTAAGAATTGAACAATATAAATTATATATTATTGTTTATACATTTTATAAAACCTACAGTCTTCTTGATAATCCATCACATTTGAAGACAGAAATATGATTGATTGGGACCCATGAAAAGAAAAAGACGGTATAGTAATAATAATATTTTGATATACACGGTATCCAAAAATAAATGAAATTCACAAAATTGATAATCGGATTAACCTGTTATCTGTAACCTGTAGATGTTTTATAGTAGCCCTTTAGCGGTATTGTTGATAAAATTATAATTTTGGTTTCTATTTTATAATTACTTTCGAAACCACATCAAATTATCGAGACATCTATAAGTTATGCTATTGCCTGAACTACAAAGCCGCAATCACAGATGATGATGATAAAGATTATGATAATTAAAGTATATATTTGGTCATAATATAGCTTAAATAGTTGAAATAATTAATTAATTGAATAAAACTTATGCTCCGACAACTGCACTTAAATGACGTATCTGTAATTGTGTTTTGTTTTTCGACATTGACAGAAAGGACAAAACATATGGACTTCATAACATTTTTTGACATTTTATAAAACTTGAAATTGTGAAACAGTATTAATGGAATAGATAATAATCAAAATTCATTCCCAAATACTACTACCGTATGTTAGTTAACCAACGCAATATTCTAACCCATCTATTTTGGAACTTGCTCGACTTCAAGTACGATTCATATATATTATTGGTCCCAAAACTACATTCAGGCTTGCTCAATATTTATTTTATAGATAATACACCAAATTTCGCCTTCTTGACACCCCTTCCTGCCACATTGTTTAACGAGGTTACCCTCTCAATTTCATCGATATCCTTCATTTCCTTCTAAAACTTTACTTGTGGTATTCAAATATCCAAAACAGTTTTCTTGTCATTGTTGACTAGAATTGTACTACTGACATCTCTCTATTGAAATTTATTTATCATTACTTTTGAAACTTATAGTTGACAGATCTGCGCCTTGCTTGAAGCTAGCGATTCCTAACTTTTTTTCGTTAAAATCCTCCCTCGCCTATTTTAGAATTTCTTATGCCTTCATCACAATGCATAAAAACTACTTTATTCGTCCAACCTTTAATGGATCCTTAACTAGTGTTATGAGTGAATAGCGCACACGTTTTTGTAGAGTTTACGTAGTTTATGTTTGCATAGATAAACATTATAGTAATGATAATAAAAAATAATATTAGTTCTACCACAGCAAATGGTAAGAAAAATTCCTTTCCAAAAAAGATATAATTTTTCTCCGGTTGAAAAGCGTTGCTTTAAGCAAACGTGCGTGGAAATTTACAGCTATAAACAGAACCTCTATTAGTCTTGAAGTTTCCACTACACTATACAATTTAAATTTAGTTTCAACTACACTACACTGTATAACAACTACATCATGTGCTATATATCTAACCAAATATTTTGTTGATATCTTTTTAAATTATCCACCTACCAGACCACGTCAGTCTCATTGTTTTCTAGTCGACTAGAGCGGAAAGGGGTCGACGTCAGTATTACAGTACAAAAAGGAAACTGTCCTTAGATATTCAAAACATCTGACTAAAACATTTTTAACAAATTATTATATGTGGCCATCATCTATCCGTATATTATTTGAGAGCTTTATTTGAATTTATGCTCAATTTGGTGATAATACAAACGTATCGTGAGTATTTACAGTTCTGACCAAGTATTTTTATAAAAAAAATGAGCACTTGAAATGAAAGTTAGTTTTTACATTTTTTTTTGTACATTATTTTTTAGAAATGACTGAGATTGACCAAAATTTCATATATATAAAATAAATAGGATAATAATATTTCCGATAATCATTATGAAAATATTCGGTAATTGAGAGCCAATCCTGTTGCCTTTCTTATATCGACTGTATACATGTAGTATACACTCTAT